CATCTTTAAAAAGGGTTCCAGAGGAGATCCGGGAAATTACAGGCCAGTCAGTCTGACGTCGATACCGGGTAAATTGGTGGAAACCATTATTAAGGAAAGAATTAGTAGGCACATAGATGAACAAAACCTATTGAGGCAGACTCAACATGGGTTCTGTAAGGGAAGATCTTGTCTCACTAACCTGTTAATGTTCTTTGAGGGGGTGAACAAACATGTGGACAAGGGGGATCCAATAGATATTGTTTACCTTGACTTCCAGAAAGCTTTTGATAAAGTTCCTCATCAAAGGCTCCTAAGCAAGCTCAAAAATCATGGGATAAAAGGACAAGTCCTTTTATGGATCAAAAACTGGCTAATTAATAGAAAACAGAGAGTGAGTATAAATGGGCAGTTCTCCCAGTGGAGGGGTGTAAGCAGTGGGGTACCACAGGGATCAGTACTTGGTCCACTGCTTTTTAACTTGTTCATTAATGATTTGGAGTTGGGAGTAAGCAGTGAAGTGGCTAAATTTGCGGATGATACGAAGTTGTTCAGGGTGGTGAAAACCAGTGAGGATTGTGAGGCACTCCAAAGGGATCTGTCAAAGTTGGGCGAGTGGGCGTCAACATGGCAAATGGGGTTCAATGTGGCCAAGTGCAAGGTGATGCACATTGGAGCCAAAAATCCTAACTATAAATACACGTTGATGGGGTCTGAACTGGCAGAGACAGATCAAGAGAGAGATCTTGGAGTTGTAGTGGATAACTCACTGAAAATGTCGAGACAGTGTGTGACTGCAATAAAGAAGGCCAATGCTATGCTGGGGATTATTAGGAAGGGTATTGTAAACAGATCAGCCAATATCATAATGCCGCTATATAAATCAATGGTGCGACCTCATCTGGAATACTGTGTGCAATTCTGGTCACCACACCTTAAAAAGGATATTATAGCTTTGGAAAAAGTGCAGAAAAGAGCAACTCGAATGATAAAAGGGTTGGAACACTTTCCCTATGAGGAACGGTTAAGGCGCTTAGGGCTCTTTAGCTTGGAGAAACGACGACTGAGGGGTGACATGATTGAGGTTTATAAGATTATGCATGGGAAAGAGCAGGTAGAGAAAGAGGTACTTTTCTCCCTTTCTCACAATACAAGAACTCGTGGGCACTCCATGAAATTGCTGAGCGGTCGGGTTAGAATGGATAGAAGGAAGTACTTCTTCACCCAAAGAGTGATTAACACTTGGAATTCACTGCCACAGGAAGTGGTGGCGGCTACAAGCATGGACGGCTTCAAAAGGGAATTAGATAAGCATATGGAGCAGAGGTCCATCAGTGGCTATTAGCCACAAGGTATAGATAGGGACTCTGGGGCAAGTGATGCTCTGTCATCTTGGTGCTTGGGGGGGGGTCAACAGTGGGAGGGCTTCTAATGTCCTAGCCCCACTGGTGGACACCCTGATGGCACTGGTATTTCTGGCCACTGTGTGATACAGAGTGTTGGACTGGATGGGCCTTTGGTCTGATCCAACATTGGCTTCTCTTGTGTTCTTATGTTCTTAACCACTGATGGACCTCTGCTCCAGCCTCCATGTGTTTATTCAATTCCCACTTGAAGCTGTTCATGCTTGGAGCAACCACCATCTCCTGGGGCACTGAATTCCATGTGCTAATCATGTGTTAATCACCCTTTGGGTTAAGAAGTGCTTCCGTTTATCTGTTCTAACCTGACTGCTCAGCAATTTCATTGAGTGCCCACGAGTTCTTGTATTGTGAGAAAGGGAGAAAAGGACTTCTGTCTCTACCTCCTCCATCCCAAGCATAATCTTGTAAACCTCAATCATGTCACCTCCAGTCATCATTTCTCCAAGCTAAGGAGCCCCAAGCACCTTAACCTTTCTTCACTGGGAAAGTGTTCCAACCCGTTTATCATCTTAGCTGCCCTTTTCTACACTTTTCCCAATGCTATAAATACACTTTCTGAGGTGTGGTGACTAGAATTGCACACAGTATTTCAAGTGAGGTTGCACCATCGATTTATACAGGGCAGGGCCTGTATAAATGTTGATCCTGTTGGACTTGTTGGGTTTCTGTGTGGCACTGTGGCACACTTGCACTGCCATTGTGCCACTTGTTCTAATGTGCCACTTGATCTCCCAGCAAACAAGAAACCTCCCGACAGTTCACTTTCCCTGAGATTCTTGGGGAGAGGCTGACTGCTGGGTGCCTGCTGGCCTGCCTTACTGAATGTCTGCTGGCCAGATTAGGTTTCAACCCCATTGAAAACAATGGAGGGAATGGAGGCAACCTGTTTGGGTGCCCATAGAACTGGACCCCCTGGTCCAATTTCTTTGGAACTTGGGGTTTATGCGGGGAGAGGCTCCAGAGGCTACCCTGCAAATTTGGAGCCTCTTCCTCAAATCCCCTCCCCCAGCTCACCAACAGCACAGTGAGAAAATTTGACATTTTCCCCACCGTAGAGAACAATGGAGGGGATGTGGGCAACCTGTTTGGGAGCCTGTAGAATTGGACGCCGTGGTCCAATTTCTTTGGAACTTGGGGCTTATGTGGGGAGGGGTTCCAGAGGCTATCCTGAAAATTTGGAGCCTCTTCCTCAAATCCCTTCCTCCCCCAGCTCACTAACAGCACATTGGGAAAATTTGACATTTTCCCCCACCATAGAGAACAATGGAGGGGATGGGGGCTACCTGTTTGGGGGTCTGTATAATTGGACCCCTTGGTCCAATCTTTTCAGGACATGGTGGATCTTTTGGGGAGAGGCCCCAGCAGCTACCCAGTGAGCTTGGAGCCTTTCCCTCAAACCCCCTCCCCCTCAGTTCCCATATTATACGCTATGAGTTTTCACCATTGACTTTAATGGCCCATAGGGTATAATGGAGCCAAATATTCGGCGCTCTCGAATACCATCTGAATCGGCTTGCATTGCCGAAAATGTTATTCAGAAGTATTCGGGGGGCCTGAATGTGTTGCCCTCGAACTTGGCTGAATCTGAATCAGGCTGAATTCTTTTTCAGTGCACAGCCCTACCCAACAGCAGACTGGGGTCTTTAAGGTTCTAAGCTTCAAAGTCCAAAACAAGTTTTCCAGTCAGTAAGACCCACCAAACAGGACAGCACCCAGGCTAATCCAAGCACAGGGTGAGTTCCAACATACACCTGAGGCAGTGGCCTGTGACCTGGCGCAACTGGTCAACACAATATTTTGTAGCAATGCTTTTACCACATCTCTCCTAGCTAGAAGCCCAATAGTTTTAAGTAACAAACTAGAATGAAAACCTTTACTTTATTGCCCAGGGCTAGCTTGGCCTGATTCTAATTCGCCTATCATGTGCAGGGCAAATGATGCAACCTAACCACCAGACTTGGTGCTCAGGCGATGATCTGAGCAATTAAAGGGGTGAGACAGGTTCAATTAACTAGGTGAGTCAGCTTCAAATGAACAAAGACCTTTCACCCACTCATGATATTAGGTGCTAGTGGAATGCACCCTCCCCTGTCTCGTGTCCTTGGAGTCTTCAGGTCTGATGAAATGACCTGCAGCTGGTTTACCTCCCTTCTCTCTTATCTATGTCTTTGATGCTTGGTTTCTTTCAGAGAATTTTTTTTTTTTTGGCAAGGCCTCTTCACCATGCCAAAAGCCTGAACCAATGCTGAAAACTTGAACAAGAAAGGTAAAGGTAAAGGTTCCCTTGCTCAAAAGCCAGTCGACTCCGACTCTAGGGTTGCGGTGCTCATCTCCGTTTTAAAGCCGAAGAGCCAGCGCTGTCCGAAGACGTTTCCGTGGTCATGTGGCCGGCATGACTAAACACCAAGGCACATGGAACGCTGTTCCCTTCCCACCGAAGTGGTCCCTATTTATCTACTTGCAATTTCTTTCTTTCGAACTGCTAGGTTGGCAGGAGCTGGAACTAGAGATGGGAGCTCACTCCATCATGCGGCACCCGGGTCTCGAACTGCTGAACTACTGACCTTCCACAGACTGCAGTTCAGCATCTTAACCACTTGAGCCACCGCATAGGAAACCGCATAGGAAAACCAATTACTTGAAACCCCCATTCAGTTTCTGGAGGGGTGGCTGTAAAGAAAGACCCTTCCACTAATACCAAAATATAGGCAAGGGGATCAATGGGAGAAGAATTCAATCAGTAGTTTTCTAAGAGGATTAAGCAAAGCCGAATAGTATGTGACTGATTCTTCTGCAATAATAGCATGCACTGAAGGGGTAAGAGAAAGGACAAACTCAGTTTACTCGACTAATAATCAATTCTTGTATACATGATCAGCAGAAGCTCTCTGAAAGTACTGCATTTCAAGAAACTCTTTGTTTAGACTATATTATTATGTGCCCTGCCCACCAATACCTTTGACCAGCCACTCCCGGCCATCACATACAATTCACATTCAAAAGAGTACCATGGTTTGCAAATCAGCAAATTGACACACTGCAGAAACAAGAAAACCCCTTACAGTTCCTGAAGGGATTGCAGTGAAGAATTAATAGCAACAAATAGCATTAATTGCAAAATATAGGCAAAGATTAAAGGAGAGGAGAATTCAAGCAGTTCTTAGCATGCTTATGAAAATTTCGGTGCAGTAGTTGCCCAAGAGTATTCGGCAAAGTTACTCTCAGAACTGGCAGAACTGGATTAAATATTCAGAGTTTATAAAGTGGGAGGGGTGGGGAGGGGAGGCAGGGCAAATTCTATTATGCAGGATAGTTCTCATTGGTTCACTAGAGTTGTCACACTAGGGAGAACAAATATTTATACCGCTTCTGTCGGCTAACAGATTAACTTGTGTGTCATCGCTTTTGTCGGAATTGCTTTAGATGGTTTCTTGGAGCACAGGATTAATGGATCCTGTTTCCTTGTTGCTCCTATGCCTCCTTACGATAGTGTTCTTTTTCAAAACGGGCAGTTTCTGGAAGACTAGTGGCCAGGATCTTCCCCCGGGACCAAGGCCATGGCCACTCATTGGAAATCTTCACCTCTTGGATCTGAAGAGGCCTTACAGAACCATGTTCCAGGTAAACACTTTTTGTTCTTTCCTCGCCACTCATGGAGTTCGTGTGCTATCTTGAATTTCTTGCTGGCCAGACAGCACTCCAGCCATTCCCTCCCAAGTGAAGACAGCAACATAAGAAATTAAAAAAAAACCCAGACAAGACATAGTTGCTTTGCTCTGGTTTCTTTTTTTGTTGTTGCAGTTGCTGTGTTTGTATGGCTTGCTGCTCCTTGATGAGTGCCAGGAGGAGAAAGCAGAGGGGCTGGCTGGCTGAAGAACAGGCTTCTGGGATTGATCCCTGATGTGATCCTTTCTCCGATCCTTGTTCAGGTTCTTTAATGGTCTCAAGAGGAGGAGGAGCAAGGATTGGGAAAGAATGCCCAGGCCCACAGGTCCCTGCCATTTAGTAATAATTGTGTAGCTTGATCTTCTCAGATCTCAGAAGCTAAGCAAGGTCAGGTCTGGTTTGTATTTGGATGGGAGACCACCAAGGAATGCCAGAGTTGCTATGTAGAGGCAGGCAATGGCCAACCACCTCTGTTCATCTCTTGCTCTGAGAACCGTACAGGGTTGCCGTAAGTTGGCTCGGAGCTGGCAGCACTTCCCACCACCACCAGCTGGTCAAAGGGGAGTATGCGAAATAATTAAAAGGAATGGGGGAGTTTAGAAGACATGTGGAGAAGTTTTTCTTTAGCAGGACTCATGACACTGGTCAGGGCCGCTGGGGAGAAGAGGATGTTGCCGAAGGAACCTAATGGGAAGGAATTGAGGGCGAAAAGGAGGCAGCCAGTGCCAGTCACATGCACTGCAGTGATAATAGGCAAGTGGACCTATGGTTGCCCATGGCATGTGTGTGCCACATGAATCACAACTAACACTACACACACACACACACACACACACACAGTGGGCAAAAGGATTTGTAGTTTTCATTAGTTGTTCGCTGCTGCTATTTTGAGAGCCAGTTTGGTGTAGTGGTTAGGAGCACGGACTCTAATCTGGGAGAACCAGGTTTGATTCCCCACTCCTCCACGTGCAGCTGCTGGCGTGACCTTGGATCAGTCATAAGTTCTTTCAGAGCTTTCTCCCACAAGCAGTTCTCAGAGAGCTCTCTCAGCCCCACCTACCCCACAGGGTGTCTGTTGTGGGGAGGGGAAGGGAAAGGGATTGTAAGCCACTCTGAGACTCCTTTGGGTAGTGAAGAGCCGGGTATAAATCCTATCTCCTCCTTTTTCTTTATTGGAGATAAGGGGGCTGTAACCATCAGCAAGGTCTGCTGAGAGCCACCATCGGCCTCTGGACAAAGATTCCTTTTGCCCCCCTGATCCAACCCAAATATCGTAACAGAACAAACAAATCACTTGGCTTGCTGTTACCATGAATCTATAGTAATAATAGAGTTGGCCTGTCTGTGCATGTTTGTTTGTTTGTTTGTATCCCATTTCGACCCCAGTGGGGACCAAAGTGGCTCTCTTCCATTTTATCCTCATAACAACCCTGTGAGGGAGTTTAGGCTGGGTGTGAGGATAATTACTCTATATGCACACAGTCACACAACAACCCACTTTCAGTGAGCCAGGCCACTGGGAGGGAGTTGGGGGGGGGGGCTAGTCCACACGATGGTAGCAAATTACCAGGGTAAAGGGAGCCGAGGGGCTAGGATTCCCTGCATGTTGGGTCCAAATCCCTCCACACACACTGATCCTTCAGTCTCTTAGAAACTTCCAGCCTAGGAAGGTGACCAAGAGGAGCACGGTACTGTGAATTTTAAGGACTGTCACCTCCCCAAATCTCCAGGAAATTCCCAACAAGGACTTGACAACCCTATCTAGAAGACTTGTTGTGTGTACTGATGATGTAAATGGCCACGAGAAGCAGGCTCTTCTCTGTAGTACCATCACCGTCAGGGGTCATTTCATAGAGAAAGAGGTGCAGGAGCTCATTAGCATAACTCATTAGCATACCTTATTTGCATATGCCACATCTCCTGAAATCACCAGAAGTGTGTCAGAAGGCAACACCCACCACTCAGGCTCCACTGGACTCTTTTGGATTGCTAGCTATTGGGGAGGGGGGGAACGTGCAGATCTGTCCTCGAAGAGGAGGGAGAGCTTGTACCTGAATAAAACTTGGTCTTAAAGGTGCCACTGGACTGTTTTGGACCGGGGGGGTGCGGGGGGAGCTCTGCAATTTACCTGGCTGTGTCTTGCTCTGACTGAGGGCTGCTGGGAGCAGGGGGTGGGGCTTGTTGCATGTGCCTGCCCCCTGGGCTCTTTACTGCCAGAGCTCTGCTCCTGTGCGCTCCTGCAGGAAATTACCCCTGACACTGTTATGGAAACATCTGTCTTTCACATCTGCCGGTCACTTTTTTGGTCAAACATCAGGTGCCAGTTTTAAAGATCTCCATTCAACCGTGCATTTTGTGTATAAATGGGTACTTAACTGGTGTTTTTGAGTAAGCTAGCCACTGTCTTGAAGACCTGAATTGTCTTTTTCTCTTTCTAAAATTACATGTCAGTTATCCAAGCGATATGGTCCTATCTACAGCTTAAAGCTGGGATTTCAGAAAATGGTCATTCTGACAGGCTATGAGACTGTAAAGGAGGCTTTGGTGAACCAAGCAGATGCCTTTGCGGAGAGGGCCAGAGTCCCAATCTCTGAAATAGTTTCAGAAGGCCATGGTGAGTACATTTCTTTGGGAACAGTAGGTGCTCTTGCTTACTTAGGAATCACCATAGTGAATTAACCTAGGAGAAACACAAAGTGCAACTTAAACTAGGCTGGCTTATTCTACAGTCTGAGAGTAGTTTCCTGATTTTTCTACCCTCATGTCCTTGGTATAAGGAGGTCCTCTCCAAATATCTTGAGCCTATTGCAAAACTAAGTCCCGATACGACAGAATCTGATTATATAAACTACATGCTGTCAGATGAAAATTTGTTAATCTCTAAGGCTGTTGCCAAATTCTGCGCCATTTGCTGTTGTATTCAAAAAGCCTGCTTAATCTTGTTTCGGTTTTAAGATGTTTTCCTGACTTAAGTTTTATGCAATATCTGTTGGGCATTACTTTATTCCATGCATTCTTATATATTTTATGTACTTTTTTTTAGTGATTTTTATAATGGTGTTGTTGTTTTTTTGCTTTACTGGCTTGATGCCGTAATAAACTATTTATTTACTCAGGTATCACGAAAGCAAATTATCCTAGGAGATACACAAAGTGAAACTAGAACTTGGCTGGCTTAATCTACAGCTTGAGAGTAATTTCCTGATTTTCCCACCCCCATGTATAGATTTGCAGGCATTAGAAGGTGATCACATTTAACTGTTAGCCTAATCACTCTTTATGAGAGATAATTAGCTTATTAATAACTGGGTTACAGTCAATGTATACAAAGGGTGCCGCTGTGCAATGACGCTTTAATCAAGAGACGACAACTTAAAGTAAAACAACAATTCTTTACTGAGTATTGATCATTCAAACAGGGAATAATAATAATAAAACCATACACACATTCAAGAACTAAGAAAACCAGACAGAATTATTATAGCACAATTAGGAACTAACGTTGTTTCTTGTAGAATATATTTACCTCAGATGCTCCGTTCTGCTCCTAAAGCTTCCAGCAATGGGCAGTGGCAAGCAAATAAGAATAGATGAAAAGAGAGGAAAGACACGTGACTCTAGACCGGCTGGAGACACGAGAAGCTTAACCCTAGCTGCAGACTAGGACTAACGTAAGAAAGTTTCAGTAAGAGAAAAAGGCTGCTGATAGTTCCGTGTTCTCTGTTTTTAAACTTTTCTTCTGAAGGGAGGGGAACGACTTATCCTCATTATCATAGAGCCCTTCCCAACAAGTCCGTGATTGGCTATCGTGTCAATTTAATATTACTATTAACTAACTAGTAAGGTGGTGCTTAGATTGAAGCCGGATCACGTGGAGCAGCGTCAACAGAGGTCATCTGTGGTGTCAGCGGGTCGAGTAAACAACAGATGCTACGTGTGATAAATCTTCCGGGAGGGTTCCTCTTCAGGGTCAAACTTACTATCTTGGAGACATCATGTCTGAGCACGTCCTAGAAACCCATTGTTTTAGTTGCTTCTCGAAGCTTAACATGCAGATAACTAGGAGCCTCTTTCCTGAGTGATATTTGCCTTAGCTGGTTAATACTTCAGCTGTTTTTCTGTCTCCATTAGCCTTTCCTTGACCCCTTATAACTCAGAGTCTTTGGTCAGCGTTTCAAGCAGTCCTTTTAATATCAACTTTATTCATGTGTAAAAGTCCAATAAAAAGATCTGCTCCTATCATAACTACATGGAAAACATTCACCCGGTGATTTCCGCAGACCAAGTAACTGTTAAAGAAGTAGGCTAAATTGAATATTTTTCTCCAGGTATTTCCTAATGCGGAGTCATCAGCCCTAGTTATGACCCCCACCCCCTCTACCTCAGGCTTGTTCCCCACTCTTCTGCAGTGTGGCGTAGTGGTTCAAATCCCAATTTGTCCCATGGAAACTTATGGGGTGACTTTGGGCCAGTCACACCCTCTCAGCCCAACTTACCTCACCCGGTTGTGAGGATAAAATCGAGGAGAGGAGAATGAGGTAAGCTGCTTTGGATGCCCATTGGGGAGAAAGGTGGGGTACCAATAAATTAATCGTATAAATAAATACTCCAACCAGGTGCCACTTTTAGGATTAGCTGCTCCACCTCCTGGCTGGAGGCAGTGCAGTGGTGACAGACTGGCCGAAGTAGGGCAGAAGTGGTGGCAGTATCAAGTGTCCTCAGGCAACGCTATGGATTGAGTTGACAATATGAGTTTTGATCATGTGAAGACCTTGGATCCACACCATTCTGCAGCTCATCCTTTACTGTTGGTGTGCAAAGGAACACACTGCATGCATCTGTAAACAGTGCACATGAAAACACAATGCAGCTGTTCTTCGTGGTTTCCCTAAAATGTGCAGGGCCTCCTTCTACATATGGGTTTCATGAGTACAACCATAAGGGTCATGCCAGCTCTTGACACTAGCCCTTTGCTTGCTTTCAGGAGTTATTCTTTCTCATGGTGAGAACTGGAAGGTGATGCGGCGGTTTATGTTAACCACGTTGCGTGACTACGGAATGGGCAAGAGGACCACAGAGGACAGGATTGTTGAAGAATGCCACTTCCTAATACAGAAACTTGAATCCTACAATGGTGGGTTGGTGTTGTCTTCTGTGTTCTAAGAAGAGTGTAAACTTATTTCGTAATTATTCACCGTTTTGTCTTTTCCCTAAGGAACTGTAGTTTGAGGACACTGACATTTGTTCATTACTTACTGACTTCTAAAACTACCATTCCCAGAATTCCCTGAGGAGACACAATTAACATTAAGCCAGTTTAAACCCATAGTTTACTGGAGCTATGGCTCAGTGGAAAAGACTCTGCTTTGCATCCAGATGATTCCAAGTTCAACCTTTGGCATTTCCAGTTGAAAAGACCATGCAGTAGGTGATATGAAAGACCTTATGCCTGAGACCCCAGAGAGCTACTGATGATCCTGACTTTGATGGACCAATGGTCTGTTTCAATATAGGACAGATGTGTCTGTATGTCCAGCAAGAGTTCTTATAGCATTCCAGTCCTTTGTAGCATTTCTGAGTCAAAACAACCCGAAGCATAACACTTAAGAACACAGATTATAGGATAGATCTCTGCTTGAGACTTTGGAGAGCTGCTACCAGTCTCAGGAGACAATCTCAACCTTGATGGGATGATGGTCGGTTTCAGTATAAGACGGTTGCTTGTGTATGTCCAGCAGGACTTCTTATAGCATTTGTTATTCTTATTAGCTTTTCTTGATTAGAACAACCCCAAGTATAACACTTGAGTTTAGTTTCTACATAGAATATAGCATGAGCAGTGTGAATCCATTGTGAGTCAAAGCTATGAAGGTGTGTAAGGAGACGAGGAAGGACCAGGTGAAGCAGAATAAGCCTTAATATCAAAGCAATGTCTCCTTCATATCAAACCAAAAGCGAGGCTCTTTCCGAAGTAAATACTGGCTTCTTTTTGTTATAGGAAAGCCATTTGAGACCACTGTAATCATGAATGCTGCTATTGCCAATGTTATAGTGTTCATATTACTCGGCAAGCGCTATGACTATGAAGATCCCACTTTTGTGAGACTACTGAACTTGGTCAATGAAAATATCCGTCTTGCCGGAAGTCCCTCGGTCACGGTAATCTAGCCATTCAAAACTGGTTAAATAGCTGTTTGGTGTCTTGCTACATACAGTGCAGGCTATGGGAGTCTGTCCATGGCAGCTTCTTAAATTGTCAGGCCCCACGGGGGCTCTGGCTAATGACCTGGGGCAGGGAAACGGAGGAGTCGCTATCACATTGACAGTTTCTGGGGCAAACTGACACCACTCTGTTATTCAGCAGAAACTCAATGGTTTTACCATAGAATTTCTGCTCAGTCCTAGAGCAGAGAGATGTCCCTTCCCCGTTTTCCCCAGAAATGGCATTGTACCATTGATACAATGGCCATTTTTGCATTCTTTCCCCCCCAAACTGCCTACCAAATGGTGGTGGGGGGTCAAGGGCTGCCAGTGGTAGGTGTCCCGCTATTGTTACCCACATCGGTAGTCTCCTAACTAATTGGGGGAATTAACATAATTGGAGACGAGCGAGAGGCGGTAACTAGGAGACCTCCACCAGTGGTTCCAAGGATTATTCCTTGAGAACTCTCGAACAAACCAGGCTGAAATACGACAGGAAAGGTGTTTTATTATAAAAGCAGAGAGAGCAAAACATACACACAAAGCACACGGGGAACACACAGACTAAGAGGTAAAATAAAAGGAAGTAGCGGTGAAAATGACTCCAGGAAGGTGATATTTACCAAGTCTTGGAGAAGCAAGGGGCGATTTCTCACTAGAGTTGCCTCGCGGCACAGCCGCTGTTTGCCCCGACACAAACATGTTAATTTCACACCCGAGGCTGCGGGGCTGCATTTTGATTCGCGGCTTCACCCGATTTCCTCCGCAGTTTCGTGATCCTGTTTTTTGAGGATCACGAAACTGCGGAGGGAAGCGGGAGAAGCCGCGGGTCAAATGCAGCCCCACAGCCTTGGGTGTGAAATTAACGTTTGTGTCGGGGCAAATGGTGGCTGCGCTGCGAGGCAGCTCTAGTGAGAAATCGCCCAAGGTCTGTAGAATGCAGGAAGAGAAATGGCCAGAGTTCCCCAGAGAGAAGAAGGAAGCCCAGGATTGTGCGGGGGTGTGATGTTTGGTGCCAAGAGAATACACACACACACTACATGGGGCAGAGTGTGTCCAATTATAAGAAAAATGAGCCCTGGGGTGGTCTGATGTGTTTGCCCCTAAAATGATACCTTGATTGGTTCTCCCAGATGAACAAAGAGCTGAGGAAACTTGTGACGATTAGCATGAGTAGGGCTAATGTCTTCAATGAGATTGCATGATGTAAATTAAAGATGCTAACATACCTTGATGACCAATGCTCCCTCTAAGCTGTTGTCTTGTGAGCAAAAATTCTATTTTGTGAGCTGCTGGCATTAAAGTTGTGAACAAGCAATTTGACTACTGCACAAATTAGTTTGCTCTGGAGCCATCCGTCCTGAGCGAACATAAAAATCTATGAGCCGGAGGCTAAAAAGCCGTGAGCTAGCTCACAGTAACTCAGCTTAGAGGGAACACTATTGATGACCCTTGAATTCAGGACGGGAGAGGCTATTGGACTGTATGAATAGCCCATTAATTAGGGTAAATGGGTGAGGGGAAGCATGGCCAGGTGTGAACAGGGTGAGGTTCAGGTAGGGTGCTGTCTTCCTGAGAAGCCCATTATTGAGATGAAGTATCTCTTTTAGGGTGGGGAGAAGAGTTATTAGCAAGTCAGCTGTCCTGGTTCACCTTCCAAAATATTTTTTCCAGGCTTCTCTCTGGCCAGCGTCCATTTTGTTTGTACCAGCTCCATTGGTTTCACTTCTAGGCTAGGCTGTACAGCCCACCCAAGATTTTGGGGGGTGAAATTAAAGAGGGTTGCCTAATCCCTGACTGCCCTTCTACAGGAGAGGTCTGACTGCCAACACTATAGCTGACTAAGGGTCCAGTAAGAGCTATATGATCCCCAATACACTCACCCAACATAACCTCTCGCAGACTTGGAGGCGCAGGTAGGTTAAACAGTCACAGGTTTGCCACCCATCTTGTCACTACCCAGGGTTCTACTGGTAGCAGGAGCTCCTTTGCATATTAGGCCACACACCCCTAGTGTAGCCAATCCTCCAAGAGCTTACAGTAGCCCCAGTAAGAAGAGCTCTGTAAGCTCTTGGAGGATTGGCTACACTAGGGGTGTGTGGCCTAATATGCAAAGGAGCTCCTGCTACCAGTAGAGCCCTGTCCCTACCTATTTTTTTTCAAGAGCCCTGACCCTTTTACACACCAGGTCACAATAATCTAACCAAATCAATGAATGTATTAATTATTTTGAAGTGGAGCACCTTAGCATAAATCAAAATAAATCTAAAATACTGCCATTTGGAGACCATAGGAAGACAGGGTGTCCTTGGAATTCGCAAGGCATGGAGCTTGAAAAAGCCCATTCTTCCAAATAGCTGGGCATTTATTTTGGTGCTCTAATGACCTGGGAAGTCCATCTAAAATGTATCATGGCCCCATTCACACGGAGGATTTGCCACGCTAAAGGCATGAATGTCAGACGGATTTTCAGGGTGCGATCACACCACAACATCTGGGGAGCGTAGGGCACCCATGGCATCCCACCGAAGATGCACAGTAAAAAAAGTATCGCGGAAAGTGCACTAGTATCTGGAAAACACGGGGCAGGGGCGGGCGTCTGATCACGGGAGCGCTAGTATCTTGTGGCATTCGGCGCCCGTCCAGGTCTTGTCGCAAACTGGATGTTTTTCGTAAGCGCATGCGCAAAAACACGTAACTGAAATCAGTGCTGCTCCACGGAACTGCGCATGTGCACAAATGCAAAACGCTTGCTGCGCCGCTTCTTTGCCATGCTCCAGCATCGTGGTGTGATCGCCAGCTAACAGCCTAAGCACGAAGACTCGGGGGACTGTCTGATCGGGCTACCGTGCTTTATTTTGCTCCGGGGCAAACAGCCACACCTCCCCCAACCACCACGTTGTCTGGCCCGTGTGACTGGGGCCCAGAAGTAGCTTTCAGCTTCTGTCCATATCCCCGAAGGAATTCTATTTTACAAAAATGCTTTTCCAGCATTGGAGTGCTGTGGACACATACGTACTTTTCTGAACACCTGAACTTTTGAGCCCTAACTCTCATCATTCTTCCAATACTCTCACTCACCAACCATCATTCTTACAACTTGTTGTAACTGTCCTAAATGTCCACTGTCAGCCTTCTCCCAACATTCCGTCAGGTCTCATTGGCTGCAGTCTGAGAGAGGCAGGACGGGACCTGTCTGTCACAACCTAAGATGGAGGTATAAAGCTACTTTCTCTGGGCAGGGCCTTTGAAGATGAGTGGTCTAAAGATCATGACTCTTGACTTCAGCCTGCTGAACCTGGCTTCTTGCCTTTGGCCTTGGCTGCCTTTTCTTGCCATTGATTATACTTCTGCCTAACCTCAGACTGCCCCCACCACCCGGACCCTGATTTTGCTGTGCCCAACAGACCTGTTGCCAGTGTTCCCTCTAAGATGAGTTAGTGTGAGCTAGCTCAAAGCTTTTTAGCTTCCGGCTCACACATTTTTGCCTCAGCTCAGGAAGGATGGCTCCAAAGCAAACTAATTTATGCAGTAGCCAAATCGCTCGCTCACCAACTTTAATGCCAGTAGCTCACAAAGCAGAATTTTTGCTCACAAGACTCCACAGCTTAGAGGGAGCATTGCCTGTTGCGTACCCCCGGCAATCTAGCCACATCAACTTTCTCTCGAGTCTGGACCTTTCTTGCCTGCCCAATTACCTGTGTGCCTTGAGCCCTTTGTACCTGGCTATGTTAAGCTTTAAAAACAATTTTGTACCACCTTATTTGCAGAGTGTGAGCAACTGATATCAAAATTCCCTTTTTTATTATTGCAGTCCAAGGGCTGCATTTGTTTCTAGAGCAGGAACCAAGAAAGCTGTGCGGAGTGTGCACATCAGCTAGGTTGAATCCTTCTGGGTCAATTCTCTGAGTAGAACACCAGTTTGGTGTAGTGGTTAAGTGTGTGGATTCTAATCTGGGAGAAACGGGTTTGATTCCCCACTCCTCCACTTGCAGCTGCTGGATGACCTTGGGCAAGCCATAGTTCTAACAAGAGCTGTCCTTGAAAGGGCAGTTCTTGAAAGAGCTCTCTCAGTCCCACCTATCTCACAGGGTGTCTCTTGTGGGGAGGGGAAGGGGAAGGAGTTTGTAACCCACTCTGACACTCTGAGCGAAGGGCAGGGTATAAATCCAATCTCTTCTTCTTGTTCTCTTCTAGAAGGAGCAAATATATTTTAAATAAAAGCACTATAAAGTCTGACTGAGTCACACCATTTAGCTCTGGGGCTTTCTTAATCTTTTCCTTTCTCCTCTTGTGTTATTCCATTAGCTGTACAACATGTTTCCTCCTCTGGGTTTTCTTTCTGGTGGTCGCAACACTGTCCTTAAGAACAGGAAAGAACTGCATGCCTTCATACAGGCCACCTTCGTAGAACACCTCAAAGAACTGGATGTGAATGACCAGAGGAGCTTTATCGACGCTTTTCTAATCCAACAGCAAGAGGTAAACAGGCAAATAATCACAGGTGAACTTCTCTCACCCATTGACTGAAAGTCTCTTTGCATGTGAATGACAGGCCTGCTGGCAAGGAATACAGCTTGTGGGGAAGGGAAAGCATCCCATCAAACCAGCTGGGATTTCCCAGTTTTCAACCATTAATGTATTACAGGAACTGTCTCTGTAGAGACAACCAGCAGGCCAGAAATAAATGTTGCAAAGTCATCATAAAGGAGAAAAACCGCAAGGTAAACATGCAGTTCAAGTTAAATATGCAGTTCAAACATTATTCTACTTCGTCCAATTTCCCATTCGTCTTTCTGCTACATCTCTGCAGTTAAAAAAAGCTGACTGAGGCTGTGACCAGACGTACCTTTAGATCCAACATACGTGCAAATGCCTGATGGATTTAAAGGGAGGGATCAGACAGCAACATCTGGGAAGTGTCCCACAGTTATAGGATTGCCAAGTAGTACTCACCTCTGGAGCGGGGGACTCCCGGGTGGATCCTGGAGCGCGCACGTGCGCCGCATGCACGTCACTAGGAAGTGACGTTATGACGCCGGGCACGCTGGGGGCGGGGCCACGACCATCCAAGGGGAAACCATAGAGTTTCCCCTTGGATGGTCGTGGCCCCGCCCCCAGCGTGCCCGGCGTCATAACGTCACTTCCTAGTGACGTGCACGCCGGGGGTGGGGTTCCCCCCAGGGCCCGATTCCGCGGCGGCGGAAATCGGGCCTCCAAAGCGGGGGGTTTCCCCGCCCCCACTTGGCAGCCCTACACAGTCGTCAACAACCCATGCTGCTCCGGCACGGAAATGGAGTTAAAAGACACCGGGGAAAGTCCAGCTCTAACTGGTTGTGATGGGCTACGGACGGACTTTCCCCTGTCTGATCGCTCAAGCACTCTCTCCTGCCATCGGGGTGGTCTGATCAGGCCATCCCAACTCCATACCGTTGTTTTTTACCCCCTTCGCAGTATCTGCATCGTTGCATACTCCGTAGGGGGCCCTCAGCGCAGAGGTGCAATACCTCATTTATGCGCATGGGAGACAAATGGCAAAAAAGAGACTCACCCGCAGTTGCATCTGATCACACAGTGATGGGTTAAACCCACAGCTTCAAAGGGAGGTGTGATCTCTCAACTTCATGTGGTGTGTGTGACTGCAACCAAACTTACTTAAAAAAAAACTGAGGGAAAACCCCTGCATTATGCAAGGGGTTGGACTACAGGACCCTGGAGGTCCCTTCCAACTCTATGGGATTCTATGAGAAGTCAGAGGAACTAACAGATCATTGCGACAGATTATAATATACTATACAATGTTATTGCCCTATATGCAACTCGTGCATAATCTAGACCACCGTGGCCTCTATTGCACTGCAGGGTACAGAGTGGAAAGCTCTGAGTTGAAAAAAATCCTGGAGATTTGGGGGTGCAGCCTGGGGAGGGCAAGATTTGGGGAGGGGAGGGGGACTCACAGGGTTATAATGCCATAGATCTCACTGTTCAAACTGACAGAACTGCAGCAGAATTTACGTTAGGCTGCAGCGGGGGAAATAAAGTTCACACAGTGCCTTTTATCTTGTGCGTGTACAGTACAGTCAAGTCACTTCCGATATATTGATGTCCTCCAAAACATCCTATCATTAACAGCCTTGCTCAGGTCTTCCAAATTGAGTGTGGTGGCTTCCTTTATAGGGTCAATCCATCTCATCTTCTCCTGCTGCCTTCAACTTTTCTTAGCATTATTGTCTTTTCCAGTGACTCTTGTCTTCTCATAATGTGACCATTTTAGCTTCTGGGGAGAGTTCAGGCTTGAACTCCAACTGAACTCCAACTCCAAACCAATATGAGTCCTTTATTATTGGGACCAGGGATCTTTTGGGGCCGGAGTGTACCGGAGCGCTGCTCCGAGAGCCCAGGAGCTGGCAAAAGGGTGGTGGCAGCAAGCCCCGCCCCCAGCTCCCCACACTACAGCCCGTCGCCAGCTCTCCAGGGCCCGCGCTGGAGTGCTATGGCCCCGGGGAGGCCCGTCGCTGCTTCCCCGGGCCAGCACCGGAGCGCTGAGGCACTGGGGAGGTCAGAAGAGGGACCCCCCGCCACCTCCCGGGGTGAGGGATCCGCGGGGGGTGGCAGAGGCTTGATTGGGGGAGTAGGGGGGTGGAAGAGCCTCCCCCTCCCCCCATCTCTTTGCCCTCTTTCTTTCCCTCATTTCCTTTCCCTTTCCTTTTCTTTCCCTCCTTTTCTTTCTCTCTTTTCCTCCTTCTTCCCTTGTCTCTCTTTCTTTCCCTCCTTCTTTCCTTCTCTTTCTTTTCCTCTTTCCTTCTCTTTCTTTCACTCTATCCTTCCTTCATTCCTTTTCTCTACTCTCTCTCTCTCTTTCTCCTTCCCTCTTTCCTCCTTCTGCGGCCCAACTCTAGTGAGAAGGGGTTTAAACTTTAAACCCCTTCTCTCTTTGCTTCCCCCCCACTAGGGAAGGGAAGGGGAGGCTTTTGAAGATGCCTTCCCCCCTTTTGCTTCCCCTTCTGACATCACTTTCTGTTGGGTGTTGCATATGCTAATGAGCTATTATGATAATAGCATAGTAGATCATTAGCATACCGTATGCTAATGAGCTCATGCAGCTCTTTTTCTATGAAATGACCCCTGATTGGGACTAAGCATTCGAAACAAACTAGTTAAACCAGGATGGATGGAGATGCTCTCTATAGTCTCTGCAGAGGCAGTGCAGAGTCCTTCACTTCCAGCACAAGGCAGCCATTTCCTCCAGGGGAACCGGTCTCTGTCATCAGGACTTCAGTTGCAGTTCTGGGAGAATCCCAGACTGCCCATGGAAGCTGGGAACCCAACTGGGCTGGCCTAAAGACTGGCTTGCTGGAGATTAATTTGGGAGCTATTATTATTACTGGATAGATTTTATTATTACTGTATGTTTTAATTATTATTCAGTTAGAAATGTTCCTTCTTATCTTCTAGGAGAAGAACAGGAACCAGAGCAATGAATTTTTCCATAACGAAAACCTAAAGTCTGTTGTAACTGACTTATTTAGTGCTGGCATGGAGACCACGTCGACTACCTTGCGTTGGGCCCTGTTGCTGATGATAAAGTACCCTGAAGTTCAGAGTAAGTCCTGAACATTGGTTGCTTTCCATTATTCTAGGAAATCTGGATTCCACTTACACCTAGTGGTGAGAATGTAAAAAACTCTCAGGTTGCCTTTGAATGCTACCTGGATGAGGGAGACAGAAAGTACTAGTGAGTTATACTTCCTGTTTTCCTCCAGCTGGTATAATGCTGAAAGCAGAAGGGGTTGTGAACTGCTTGAACCCGGCAGAATTGGCTAACTACCAGCAGGTCTCCAACTTGCCCTATTTGGACAAGATAATTGAGAGGGCAGTGGCAGCTCAGATACAGAGTTTTCTGGATGACACTTCCATATTAGATCCCTTCCAGTCTGGCTTTCATCCGGGCCATAGCACAGAGACAGTACTGGTCGCCCTCACGGATGATCTCCGAAGACATCTGGATCAAGATAGGATGGCGGTGCTGTTGTTGTTGGAGCTGTCGGCAGCGTTCAATACGGTTGACCATTAGTTACTGGCCCACCACCTCGCCAACACTGAAGTCCAGGGGCTCATCTTATGATGGCTTGCATCCTTTCTCCAGGGCCGGGAACAAAAAGTGGCACTTGGGGAAGAATTATCCCAAAGGTACCCGCTAATTTGTGGAGTGCCTCGAGGAGCGGTTCTATCCCCAATGTTATTTAACAACTATATGCGCCCCCTTGCCCAGATTGCTCGGAGTTATGGACTGGGTTGTCACCAGTATGTTGATGACACCCAGCTGTATCTGTTGTTGGGTAGCCAGTCAGACTCTGGGCTAGAAGATCTGGACATGGCATTACAAGCTGTGGCTAGATGGCTTAGGCTGAGTTGGTTGAAACTGAATCCAACAAAGACTGAGATTCTGTGCCTAAATTGTAGTGGCCCGGGGTTAGGGATCTCACTCCTGACCTTCAATGGGGCACCTTTGGTGCCAGCACCAGAAGTTAGGAGCTTGGGAGTGCTCTTGGATGCCCCCTTAAACAATGGAGGCCCAGGTAGCAGCCATTGCCAAGTCAGCCTTTTACCATCTTCAGCTGATTAGGCAGTTGGTTCCCTTCCTCGAATGTAGTGATTTGGCAGTGGTAATCCACGCAATGGTGACCTTGAGATTAGACTACTTTAATGCTCTCTACATGGGGCTGCCCTTGTCCCAAATTCGGAAGCTGCAGCTGGTGCAGAATGCGGCAGACAGGCTGTTGTTGGGTCTCTCTCCATGGGAACACATCCAGCCTGCACTGAAGGCATTGCATTGGCTGCCAATAGCATACCGAATTCACTTCAAGTTGCTGGTGCTTACCTATAAAGCCCTATATGGTCAGGGGCCAGCATACCTGAGGGACCGCCTTTCCCCCCATGTTCCCCAGAGAGCACTGCGTTCAGGGATACAAAACCTTCTAGCGTTTCCTGGCCCTAAAGAGTCCAGACTGGCCACTACCAGGGCTAGAGCCTTTTCTGTGGCAGCGCCGTGCTGGTGGAATGAGTTCCCTGAGGACACCAGGGCCCTGCAGAGTGTACTTCAATTCCGCAGGGCCTGCAAGACAGAGCTCTTCCACCAGGCATCTTGACCACATGTAACATCCTGATAACTTGGAGCCTCCCTGGGATTGTTTGTATCAGAGGCCATTTCGGGGGGGGGGATCGCGGGGGATCGCAGTTCCCCCAGGTGAGGTACGGGGGGCAGGGCACATGACAAAGCCCCGCCCCCTGCTTCCGGCTGCCCCGCTTCCGGCCCTCATTCAGCCAGGAGGAGGCAGGAGAAGAGGGAGGGTAAGTTGCTTCCTCCCTGCCTCTCCCCACCCCTCCCTGCCTCCCCACCCCTGCCTGCCTTCGCAGGGCTTCCTTGCACTCCTGCCAGCCTTGCAGGTCCATCGCCGGGCCCCTCATGGGGCTCGGCAGTGGAGCTGCAAGGTCGGCGGCGGTGACCGGGACCGTTGAGGGCAGGGTGTGTGGCCTTATGACACACTTCCGGTGATGTCAGGGGGTGTGGCATATGCTAATGAGTTATGCTAATGAGTTCCCCTAGCTCTTTTTCTACTAAACAACCCCTGGTTTGTATCATCTAAGCCTGTACTGACTCCCATGAAGAAAATATGGGATTATGACTGCCCTCGCATAGGGAATATATATATGTATTGCACTTTAGATTAAATTTTATGTGTTTTAAACTGTTTTCACACTTTTTTATGTAAGACGCCCTGAGCCTGCTTTGGCGGGGAGGGCGGGGTATGAATCCAATAAATAAATAAATAAAGTTTAGTACTGGATGCCCTGGTCCAGGCTGCTATAATCCGTTCTTGATTGTGAGTGTTGTTGCAGGATGTTATGAGTCAGTGTTCCGCCTCCGGGCCTCTCGCTCTCATATTATCCTCGCTTTTATCTATTCGTTTTAATTCCTTTTACCTTTGCTCTAGTATTTTACCTTTTACCTTTGTGTTTTACCTTTGCTCGAGCTTGAGTTCTGGCTTGTTTCCCTCTTTGATCTCTGTTTCGGAGGTTCGGTGTGGAAGTCTCCCTTTCCCTCCCCTGTAAGGGATGGTCGTGGTAGGAGTGGCTGTAAAAACCGTTCAGAGGGTTTCTCACACTCCCTGCGTCTCTGTAGCTGAAGAGGAATGCATGCGCAGGAAAGCTTATGCCTTGAATAAAACTTTGTCGGTCTCAAAGGTGCCACTGGACTCAAACTTTGTCCTGCTCTCTTTTTGCTAACTTTTTATTTCTTATGTCTCTCAGTCTTCTCTACCATTTTCCTCCTTTGAGGAACTAATACTGTTGTTTCTGGCTGTGAGGGATGTGAGTGAAGTGTTTTGAGTTCTGAGTGTATGGTATATGCCTGTTGAGCTTACGCGTGTGTATTTTTATTTATATTGGGGAACCGGAAGCTGAACCGGAGGCAGACGTGCGGTTTTCCAGCTCTGCTATGATAAGTTATCTAGCCTGGTGGTTTTGGTTTTGTTTGTTTTTGTTACTTATATTGATTTTAATTTAAATGCTTTTAAGGTTGTAAATTGCCCAGAGCCTGCTTGCAGGGTGTTCGATTCATAAGTTTAATAAAATATATATTTTTAAAAATTTAAATTCTTTATTAGAATATTGTTGTTAACATACAAACTTTACAACAGTATGATGTAATACAAGAAGTTCAGATAATAAAATTGAGTGTGTAGCTATTGTTTATATCAAAGAGCCAAGAACATACTGAGGATTCCTCAAAAGTGATGTATTAGATTGTGCTGTTGTATTATCAATAAAGAGAATCTCTAAAGTACAAACCATTTATGAGTTGCCTGAAGGTACCGTCCACTGTTAAGGATGATAATTGAGGTTACATATTGACTATATGTTCGTAATTTGGTCTAATCAGAAGTGAAGCCAGGATGCAAAGCTTGGGTTTTTTGGCAAAAAATCGTTTTCTGTCATGTATTGAAGAAATGGAAACTATGTACTATAAAATAAATAAATAAATCATTTGTGGGGGGGTCATTTGTTCCCCCCCCCCGAGGTGTATGGTATATTTTGTCCAAGCTTTGTGCTCCGTGCTTTTCATTTTCAGTTTAAGAATTATTATTCATCTAAATAGTTAAACCAGTTTTGTGCTGGTTGTACTGATTAACAACACTTCGCTAGGGTATTATCTGACAATTATCAATTGACTACTTAGCTTCTAGTCAGTCTACCTGGTAGTGATTATAAAGCTCCTTCTGTGCTAATTGTAGTTTAGTTTTTCCTTCCTTCCCGGCACGTGGGGGGGAGGAGCAACTTTTAAATACCTCCTAGAGTTATAACAGAGTTTTTAAAACCTATAATTAGCTAGTTTTATTTTAACCAGCTGTTGGATCTATCCTTGTTTTATTATGTCTAGGAAAAGGAATCGTCCCTCTGACTTTAGTGGGGCTCAAGCCAACAAAAAACCAAAGCTTCTTTGACTATAATAATATTAAATATAAATATTAAAACTAGTAATCATTTTCCGCCTCTACAAGATAAATACCTGCTATACTGATTGCATCGGCTTACACAATGTAATCCGCTTTTCATCTTAGTGACTCAGTGGTTGGCTGATGAAGGAAATGAATAAGGGTTTCTACAGTAGTGTAATGGTTTAGGAAGATGTAAGTACTCTGATGCCCAGTCCAAAGCACATGCAGATTTCCTCAGTGGAAGAGGGATACAGGCATCTCTATGTGCATACAGAGTTTCACTCTGCTCTTTGGATGGTAGAGATCAGTTCGCCTGGAAAAATGATGGACTCTTTGTCATTATACCCTGCTGAGGTTGCCACAGCAAATTGAGCCCAGAGCCTCTTTCTAGAGCTTGTTGTATTTATTTCCACAACGGGCCTTATTCCTAGTTTCTAATAATTGCTTTATCCATAACTAGAGAACCCATGGAAGCAAACTGATACTACTACAACAGGTGGCCACTCTGCAAACCTTGCATCAGATACCCCGAGATAAATGTATTCTCCTGAATGTCTTGGCACCTCAGTGTCGCCAAATTAAAAAGTTCTGAACGGGCTCTAAATTGTTCTCTGTTCCACTCCACTCACCAGAAGGTGTCACCTTTCCAAACACTGTTGGACATTTCATTCCCAGCTATCCAGGCCATTTTGGTGTAGGGGTTAGGAGCACAGACGCTAATCTGGGACAACTGGGTTTGATTCTCCACTTTTCCACTAGGGGTGTGCATGGGGGGGGGGATGATATTTTTCAGGTTCAGATATCCCAAACTCGAAAGATATCGGTATTTGCCGATATTCCCGAATCCCAGTATCGGTGTGATACTGCGGTTCAAGAATTTTCAGCATTGCCGAATATTTGGCTTAATTATATCCCATGGGGACCATCCCCATAGGGTATAATATTTCCCTCCTCCCAGATTCCTGCCCCAGCGGCAGGCTCCCATCATTAAAAGGAAGGCAAATTGCCTCCCTTTGCCTTCCCCAGCCTATCCGCCACAGTGGGCAGCCTGGGGAAGGCTAGAACAATTGGGGAGGCATCTTTAAATGCCTTCCCAAGCCTTCCCCAGCCTGCCCGCCACCACAGGCTGGCTGGGAAAGGGAATCAGAGCATGGGTCAATTTCACTCCCCTCCCCTTCAAAGCGGAGCGAAATTGACCTGCTCTCCCTACTCTTTGCTGCCCCAGCTGGCCTGCCAGCTGACTGGGGAAGTATGTTGGGGATTGCTATATAGAAGCCGAATAGATTTGCCTTCTATATGGCAGTAGTTTCTCAGGAAGCTGAATCAGATCAGAGAATCTGATTCAGCTTCTGGGGACCCCAAATAATGCCATGTAGGCATTATATGGGTTTTTTTCTCCAGCTCGGCTGAGCCGAATGGACACCTCTATTCTCCACATGCAGCTGCTAGTTTGACTTTGGGTCAGTCACGAGTTATCGCAGAGCTGTTATCTCAAGAGCAGTTGTCAAAAGAGCTCTCTCAGCCCCACCTAACTCACAGGGTGTCTGTTGTGGGGATGGGAAGGGAAAAGAAATTGTGAACCACTCTGAGACTCCTTCAGGTAGTGAGGGGCGGGGAATAAATCCAATCTCTTCTTCATCATCATCATCATCATCATCATCATCATCATCATCATCATCATCTTCTTCTTCTTCTTCTTCTTCTTCTTAGCTTGTTTTGTTTTATTTCTGATGCTTATTTAGTAACAGTTCTGTCAAACCATAGCATGAGAACATTTCCTAGTAGTTAAAATTAATGGTCATTAAGATTGTAATAATTGGGTGTATCCTACCCCTATCCTACCACTCCACTGAGTAAAGTTTATTCATGTATTTATTTATTAATTTTTTAAGCCCCAACTTTCCTTTTTGGATCAGTTCTGAAGACTTCTTCCAATCTCAGGAGTTTTCCTCCAACTTAAATGTTTGTTGCATTAAAGGAAGACTCACTTAAGTTGGAGGACAGCTTCTTTGACTGGAGGAATAGTTTGATCCACCTTGGACGATAGTTCGATCCACCCCAGTATTTGTAGGGAATAACGTCAGATTTATTTTTCTGGTAATTTATTGAAAGAGTAAACATCCTTCAGTTTCTCGCTCATTGAGGGACTGAGTTTGAAACCATAAAGTTTATTTGGTCATGTGTGATATGTGCTACCAAATCACTTCTGACTTATGGCGACCCTATGAATTAATGACCCCCCCAAACGTCCTATCATTGAAAGCCTTGCTCTGGTCTTGCAAACTGAAGCCTTCCTTCCTTCCTTCCTTCCTTCCTTCCTTCCTTCCTTCCTTCCTTCCTTCCTTCCTTCCTTCCCACTCTCCCCACAAGTGGTCTCAGGGTGAATCATAGTAGGATTCTAAAACACATAAATAGGATTTCCAGAATAATAAAAACCAATTTTAAAATAGCATAGATTTTTTAAAAAGCACAAAACAGGTTGTACTATTTCATTATAAACATTACTTTCAAATGCTACTGGGTTTCTAAAATCGTATTGATCTGGGTCACATTGAGATAGGCTTCAATTACAGCCGTGGAGGCCAAGGTTTTTTTATTGGACACGCACCACCTCAGCCAAAGGCCTGGTGGAGCAGCTCCGTTTTACAGACCCTGCAGAACGATAGCAAGTCACTCCATCTCATATTGAGTCAATCCATCTCACTTTGAGTCTTCCTCTTCTCCTGCTGCCTTCAACTGTTCTTATGATTATTGTCATTTCCAGTAAGTCTTGTCTCCTCACAGTCTCCTACATCTTTGGGACCCCGAAACTTGAACTCCTCTCAACCAGCAACATTTTGAGGCCATATGAAACGGGTATTAGAGCATATTCTGAGGTCAATATTTAGTACTTCAACCCATTGGCTTATGATTCTGTCACTAAAATAGCCTTATTTTATTAACAAGTCAGTTTGGTGTAGCGGTTAAGTACACGGACTCTAATCTGGGAGTACCGGGTTTGATTCCCCACTCCTCCACTTGCACCTGGCTGGATGGCCTTGGGCAAGCCGTAGCTCTGATAAGAGCTGTTCTTGAAAAAGAGCCGTTTCTGTCAGAGCTCTCTCAGCCCCGCCTCCCTCACAGGGTGTCTGTTGTGGGGAGGGGAAGGGAAAGGAGTTTGGCAGCCGCTCTGAGACAACTTCAGGTAGTGAAGGGTGGGGTATAAATCTAATCTCTTCTTCTTAAAAATTTTTGTTGAAAAATTCACTCATTAAAAAAAGTTGCTTCAGGAACCCTCCAGGATTAGGGGCCCTGAAACTTAGTCTGCCCCTGTCTCTGCATCATATGACTAAGTACGATAGCCTTAGTTTGCTCATTTTAAGTTCTAGGGAGAATTCGGGCTTGGTTTGATCTAGGACCCACTAATTTGTTTTCTTGGCGATCCGTGGTATCCATAAAACTCTCCTCCAACACCACAATTCAAACAAATCGATTTTCTTCCTGTCAGTTTCCACCTGGCCAGCTTTCACATCCATACATAGTAATGTGGAATACCATAGTAAGGATTAAAAGGATTAAAAGAAATGTTTCCTCTTCTCAGATAAGGTCCAAGAAGAAATTACCAAGGTGATTGGGTCTGCTCAGCCTCGCATTGAACACCGATCAAAACTGCCGTATATAGAGGCGGTAATCCATGAAGTCCAGCGGTTTGCTAACATTGTCCCTCTGGCCATCCCACATGCGACCACTGTGGACGTCACCCTGAAAGGCTACTTCATTCCTAAGGTGACCAGTCTTACTTAACTCTGTTAACCTGAAAGTCTTAGTTCAGTCGATATTTGTTCACTTGTCCCCTAGTACAACACTTTACAAAGAGTTTGTTCTTCAGATGCCTGAGGAACTTCAGAGGCAGTCAGTTAAACTATTTCTAATCCCCATTAATTTCCAAGGGAGAGATCAGAACACAGAGCTGGCACCAGAGGTTGGAGGGGCATCACTACCAGCTCTGTCAGTAGCAACAAGGTCTGTCATGGCAAGCAACCTTGGCCCAGTGGGTGCCTGTTCCTTCTCTCTACATTCCATTGGTAGTTGGGAGCTCAGGCCGGCCAGGGAAGCAGGGCCCGTTTCTCGGGCTGCTTTTGCCTCAGAATCCGTAACTATTGAGAGGTGTGGCGACACTAATTACAGCGATGTGAGCAGGGGCAGCTTCCCCATAGTGCATATGGAAGGAGGAGGGCGGTGGCCAGTTTGGTGTTGTGGTTAAGAGCACGGGCTCTAATCTGGGAGAACTGGGTTTGATTCCCCACTCCTCCACATGCAGCTGCTGGTGTGACCTTGGGTCAGTCATAAGTTCTCTCAAAGCTGTCCTCTCAAGGGCAGTTCTCATGAGAGCTCTCTCAGCCCCACCTACCTCACGGGAGGGTGTCTGTTGTGGGGAGGGGAAGGGAAAGGGATTGTAAGCTACTCTGAGACTCCTTCAGGTAGTGAAGGCTGGGGTATAAATCCAATCTCCTCCTCCTCCTCCTCCTCCTCCTCCTCCTTCCTCTTCCTCTTCTTCTTCTTCTTCTTCCTCTTCCTCTTCCTCTTCTTCCTCTTCCTCTTCTTCCTCTTCCTCTTCTTCTTCTTCCTCTTCCTCTTCTTCTTCTTCCTCTTCTTCTTCCTCTTCCTCTTCTTCTTCCTCTTCCTCTTCTTCTTCCTCTTCCTCTTCCTCTTCTTCCTCTTCTTCCTCTTCTTCCTCTTCTTCTTCTTCTTCTTCTTCTTCTTCTTCTTCTTCTTCTTCTTCCTTCAGTAATTCAGCTCTATCACTTTGCAGGGAATGGAAGTAATTCCATTACTGTACTCTGTGCTGTACGATGAATCTCAGTGGGAAAAACCACTTCAGTTCTATCCGGAGCACTTCCTTGATTCCGAAGGAAAGTTTAGAAAGAGAGAAGCCTTCATGCCTTTCTCTGCAGGTAACTCATTTTTATTTATCATTGTGGGCTTAATTAATAGATCAGGTGCCCAAGTCCATTGACGTGGAAGGACGTTGTCCAAGTTGGCCACTTCTCACTTATTCTTTCAAGATTCGTGTTATGCCTTTGCACTCTTAGTCATTATGTCGCTCTGTACTTCAGTCTGCCTTTATATTTACTACTTTGTATATTATGGTAATTTATAAAGACGTTAAATAAACAGGCTTCCCTGCCCCATCTGCATTGTCACAGGGCGGCGAATCTGTGCTGGTGAGACCCTGGCCAAAACGGAGCTCTTCCTCTTCTTTGTGACTCTCCTGCAGAGATTCACTTTCCAGCCAGCCCCTGGAATCTTGAGAGAAGACCTGGAACTCACCCCTGCAGTTGGGTTTACGTCGCCTCCCATGGCCTACGATTTGTGTGCTTTGCCACGTTCTTAAGATCAAAGGATGCTTATGCTCCCCTGTGTGCACCACCCTCTTTTTTGCACTTTTTCTTGCCTGCCAAGGACATTTCAGACTCTGTGCAAGTGGACTATGCTTTGTCACAAACCTTAGTGCTTCCTGCGCCTGTCTGTGAAACCCCTACAGAGACATTACTTAGTTCAAAATTTGGACTGCACTTCTTGAGTTATTTGTGTTTGCTACTTTCTTGTATTCGCACATTACGGATGTCTTTAAACTATTGAAACAGCCAAATTAGACTACAGCGATGGTCTGCTTTCAAGTGAGATCAATCAAATGCTACGCGCCGTGTACATAAAACAAATACGTTTCATTAGGGCTATGTTTTAGACGTTAGATTTGCTTCACAAACCCAGAAGGCCACTGGTTTGCTTACCCATTCCACTCACTTTGGAACTTGTTTGAGCAACTATACCACCTTAAGTCTGAGAAGGACATGTAAAAGAAGGACTTTGGGGGCAGAAGAAGGAAGAAGAACCACCCCCCGTACCTCTCTGACTGTCAGAGAGGTGCAGGCTCATTGGGTTTTCTCCCTGCTTCTGCAGCCAAAGTCAGCTGGGGAAGCAGGAAGAAGTCCTCCTCCTGCGCCTCTCCAACAGTCAGAGATGTGCAGCAGCTCATGTGGGCTCCGGAGGGATGGGGAGGGGAGAGGAGGGACTGAAAGTGATGGGTCAGGGCTAATCCGGTAGGGGGTGTTGCCTCAAAATGCCCCACCATGGCTATGGGCCCGTGCCTCTGTGATTTGGAAGAGGGGGGGGGAGATGCTCTTTACCAGATACTGAGCATCAGGGGTCATTTCATAGAAAAAGAGGTGCAGGGCTCATTAGCATAACCTATTAGCATAACTTATTTGCATATGCAAACAACTTATTTGCATATGCAAGTAACTTATCTGCATACAGGAAGTGTGTCAGAAAGCAACACCCACCACTCAGGCTCCACTGGACTGTCTTGGATTGCTAGCTATGGGGGTGGACGTGCAGATCTGTCCTTGCAGAGGAGAGGAGAGATTGTACCTGAAGGCAGCCAGGGGGGGCTCTGCAACTTACCTGGCTGCTTCTTGCTCCTCATGGCCCAACTGAGGGCTGCTGGGAGCATGGGGCAGGGCTTGTTGCACGTGCCCGCCCCCTGGCCTCCTTACTGCCGGAGCTCCGCTCCTGTGCGCTCCCACAGGAAATGACCCCTGCTGAGCATCCTTTTCCAACTAGGAGGGATAACACGCTAGTCCATTGATGTCTGAACAGCTCTTGATTGGAGAGTTCAGGTTTGGGGAACTGGAGCCCCAAGGCTTGGCATTTAGATTGGCTGAGACCCCGGAAACACACTTGGGGTGGGGTCCAAAAAAGGGGAACTCTTCCTTCTTGTGGGGCTGTTTGTTTGGAAACTCTCTGGACAGTGTTTTTTTACTATGAAGGATGACAAAGGGGAATGATGCAAAAGAGAAATTAACAAGCTACTAACGAGCAGATGAAGTCACAGAAATTAATCATGCACACCTGCTAGAAGCCAATTCAAAAAGAAACACAACATTTGCATTAGACAAGGAAGGCCCCTATTGACCAGAGTATGAGTCGGAATATTTTTGTTCATTTTAAAAGAGTTTAAAAGCTTCTAAACTCTTTTAAAATGAACAAAAATATTCCGATGGACCAAAATAAAGAATACAAAGGCTTTATGCCATAGGCTGTTTTGAAACATGAAAAGAACACATGTAAAGGGTTTAATTCTTTAGAATGTCATTGTAATGATATCTGTTTTCAGACTTTTGTGTACCCTTAGTGAAAATAAGCTTATAAAATGCCTTAAGAATATTGTTATACTTTTATATGCATGTATCCATGTAAAAGAACCATTTTTGTAATGAAAACATCTAAGTTTTGTACTAAAAATGAACTCAGCCTAAGAGTTCATTTAAAGGTAAAAAGAGTCTAAGTAGGCAGCCAAAAAAACAAAAAAAACCCACTGCATGTATAAGTCAATTATAACGAGACAAACACCTGCATTGTAAACAGGGCCAAGTAACATCCTGTTTGTCAAATATGTGATTGACGACTGACCAGACAAAGAAATCTAAACTGAGCATGTGTGAATGATGTCAACAATGATGTAAAATTGGGAGGAGCAAGAAGAGTATAATATAAGTCTTCTCCCTGTATTTGCTCACTGAACATCTACAAGCTGTAAGGTGTTCCTTTATTCAAATAAATTATCTTGTTACCCTTTACTGCCTGGATAATTTTTTTTCTGTGTGGTTTATCAGCTAGCCACACAAGTCAAAGAACCTTAGTGCCCTCAGGGCTTTGGCATAAGCCACGTATTTCCTCAGTTCCCCACTCACCCTGTCATACCTTCCACTAGTAGTCCAATGTTCCCTCTAAGCTGTGGAGTCTTGTGAGCAACAATTCTACTTTGTGAGCTAGTGGCATTAAAGTGGTGAGTGAGCAATTTGGCTCCTGCATAAATTAGTTTGCTCTGGAGTTATCCTTCCTGAGTTGAGACAAAAAATGTGTGAGCCAGAGGCTAAAAAACTGTGAGCTAGCTCACACTAACTCAGCTTAGAGGGAACACTACTAGTGACTGAGTTGATTTATCGGTCAGTAAGGCAACATTAAGGAGAAGAGAAGAGATTGGATTTATACCCCGCCCTTCACTCACAGAGCAGTTTACAAACTCCTTTCCCCTCCCCTCCCCTCCCCACAACAGACACCCTGTGAGGTAGGTGGGGCTGAGAGAGCTCTGAGAGAACTGTTCTTTTTGAAAATAGCTCTGAGAGAACTATGGCTTGCCCAAGGTCATCCAGCCAGGTGCAAGTGGAGGAGTGGGGAATCAAACCCGGTTCTCCCAGATTAGAGTCCGCGCACTTAACCACTACACCAAACTGGCTGGATTACACCACTACACCAAACCACCACAGATAACTGTGCTGGATTACATGCTGTTATTACAGAGGGAAGCTTGGGGGCGTAGAATAGGAATCGGAGGTAATTACTTTTGTTCCCTTTCCCCCAGAGTGATTCACATCAACACCTTCATTGCTCAACAAAAGGAATGTTTATTGTCTCTTCCTGAGAACAGCTCATGCTTAGTTATTTGTGGATAAGGCAAGGGATGTAACAAGTTGTCAGTTCTTTACAGCCGGAGATAGCACAGGCTCTGCTTAGAACAGTTACCATTTCACACACACACAGCTTCAACTGGACTGACAGGCTGCTTCTCCCAGGGAGAGAGAGAGAGAGAGAGAAAATGATTTCACTTGGAACGTCTCCCTAAACCCCAGAATCTCAGCATCTTGAAATAGAGTTAGCTTGTCTCTTGAGATATTTTCTTCAATTTTCTCTCAAGTCCCAAATCCACTGTTTCCCTAAGTTAACACAGGATACCCGATCTATCCCTGCCTCCTTATCGCCCCCAGACCCCTACGTACCTGTACCAGAGATATCGGAATTCTTTTCCTTCACTGGGCAAAGCCCAGGGCCTTTTTTCTGGGGGACTGCGCTGGAACAGAGTTTTGGAACCTCTTCCACAAAATTCTTTTTTAAATGTTTAAAAGTTCATGAGTTTTCAGTATACAGTTGCTATGTCGGTCTGAAGCAGCAAAAGAAAGCTTGAGTCCAGTGGCACCTTTAAGAAGAAGAGAAGAGATTGGATTTATACCCCACCCTTCATTACCCAAAGGAGTCTCAGAGCAGCTTACAATCTCCTTTCCCTTCCCCTCCCCACAACAGACACCTTGTGAAGCGGGTGGGGCTGAGAGAGCTCTGACAGAAACAGCTCTTTTTCAAGAACAGCTCTGCCAGAACTGTGGCTTGCCCAAGGTCATCCAGCAGGTGAAAGTGGAGGAGTGGGGAATCAAACCCGGTTCTCCCAGATTAGAGTCCGCGCACTTAACCACTACACCAAACTGGTTTAAGACCAACAAAGTTTTATTCTGGGTATAAGATTTTATGTGCATACACACTTCTTCAGACACTCTGAAACAGAAGTCACCATCCATAACATATAGGTAGAGGGTGAGGAGGATGTCGCCAGGAAGGGCCAATTAGAGTCAAGATGCTGACGGAAACTGTCCCAGATCAAATTGTGCTCCACCACTTTCATACGAATCGCTTTAGATGGTTTCTCAGGTCATGGATCTAATGAATCCTGTTTCCCTGTTGTTGCTCTTTGTCCTTTCGGTGGCGTTCTTTTTGAAAAGGGGCAATTTCTGGAACACCAGCAAGAAAAATCTCCCACCAGGACCGAGGCCATGGCCCCTCATTGGAAACCTCCACCTCGTGGATCTCAAGAGGCCTTACAGAACCCTGTCCCAGGTAGACTCTTTTGTTGTTGTTGTTCTTTCTGTGCCGCTCATGGGTTCATGTGTTACGTTGAACTTCTTGTGGGCCAGAGAGCACTCAAGGTGCCCCTTCCCAAGTGAAGTCTGCAACGTGTGAAATAACAAACATATGAGCCATAGTTGTTTTGCTCCTGCTTATTTTTTCTTGTTGGCAACATATTGGGGAGGGGAACTGTTCTTTCTTTCAGGTAAACAGGGCAGTTTTTATTTTCCCAGGACAATTAATTACCTAGGACTACCTGCAGCCAGTTTAGTATAGTGGTTAAGAGTGTGGACTCTAATAATCTGGGAGAACCGGGTTTGATTCCCCGCTCCTCCACTCGCAGATGCTGGTGTGACCTTGGGTCAGTCACAAGTTCTCTCAGAGCTGTTCTCTCCAGGGCAGTCCTCAAAAGAGCTCTCTCAGCCCCACCCACCTCACAGGGAGTCTGTTGTGGGGAGGGGAAGGGAAAGGAGTTTGTAATCCGCTCTGAGACTCCAAGTGAAGGGTGGGGTATAAATCCAATCTCTCCTCCTCCTTCTTCTTTTCTATGACAGTCCCAGGGGATTTGGGACAGTTGCAGAGTAGACTACCCAGAGTCTAGAACTAGCAATATTAGCGAAAGGCATTCTCCAAAACAGACGTAACATTCTTAGGCCCCGGTCACACGGAGAATTAGGTACGTGGAGGGGATGGATTAAGGGCGGATCAAACAGGTGCGATCAGACCCCAGCATCTGGCAAGCGTTGCGCAACCGCCCCTAACCCGTCGCATCCGGGCGAAAATGCAGATCGAAAAGGTACTAGGGAAAATGGAGCACCTACCGGAAAATCTGCAACAATGGCGGGCGTGGGATCGTGGACGTGCCGGCAGCCCGTAGCATCCTGCAGCCGTCCGTGACTCGTGCATGCACACTAATGCGGGACTGCCATGTTGCCTCGCTGGGACTATGCCATTGCCTCCCCAGTGTGATTGGGTGCTGAAGGAGGGAGAACGGAGCCTCAGGGGAGCATAAGATCGCACTTCCATGGTTCTTTTAGCTCCGCATCTAATATGCCTCCCTTCCCCGATGGATTTTCCCGCTCGTGTGACCGGGGCCTTAATAGCAAATCATTCACATCAGTTCTAACCCCTTTAATAAGACACATTCAGGAGTTTTGAACAAGCATTTGGAATTGGTAAACCTGCTGGAGGATGGTCAATAGTTTGGTCCAGACAGTACTAAGGTGCGGTTGCTCAATAAGGGTGCTAACCAAGGAAGGAGGGGGGTCACATTCAGCGTCCCCTCTAAGCTGAGTTAGTGTGAGCCAGCTCACAGGTTTTTAGCCCCCGGCTCACACATTTTTGTCTCGGCTCAGGAAGGAGGGCTCCTGAGCAAATGGATTTATGCCGTAGCTGAATCACTCGCTCACAGCTTTAATGCCGGCAGCTCACAAAGTTGAATTTTTGTTCACAAGGCCCCACAGCTTAGAGGGAGCAGCATTTGCCCCTGAAAGGCAGCTTGGGGGGAGTATTATTTCCATTGCTGCAGACAGCCAACCCTTTCCTGTTCCTTGCAGAACCTTAAGCCAACCTTGGTTGGGCTGATAGCTGCATTTCCTCCCTGAGAAATGAGATATGGCTACGTATATCCACGGCTCTGATGACACCCAGAGCTGTCTTTGGAGACAGTTCAGAAGCAGCCGATGTCGCAGAAAGTAGTTGCCAAGGAGGCAAAGTGGTTATCTGCTGAGCAATAGTCCTCTTAAGAAGAACCAACATACAGTTGTGATATAATTACTTGGTGTAACATTGTATGGTCAATTCTACTGTTTCCCAAGCACATTCATATAAACATATGCATGCCAAGGTTATAATGGATAAATGTATCAAAGAAACAAAGTGCTTGTGCCAAAGTTCAGTTTGGTGTACTGGTTAAGTGCGCGGACTCTAATCTGGGAGAACTGGGTTTGATCCCCCACTCCTCCATTTGCAGCTGCTGGATGACCTTGGGCCACCCATGGTTCTCTCAGAGCAGTTCTCTCAAGGACAGTTCTGGAAAGAGCTCTCTCAGCCCCACCTACCTCCCAGGGTGTCTGTTGTGGGGAGGGGGAGGGAAAGGAGTTTGTAAGCCACTCTGAGACTCTGAGTGAAGGGTGGGGTATAAATCCAATCTCCTCCTCCTCCTTCTTTTCCTTATCAATTTCTTTTTGTGTATATTTAGTCCAAGTGTATCGTCTGTCAAGGCTTCTTTGAAGAAACTGATAAGGAACTGAACGGAACTGAACGGAACTTTGGCACAAGTACTTTGTTTCTTTGAAACCTTTATCCATTCTAACCTTTGCATGTATATGTTTATATGAATGTGCTTGGGAAACAATATAATTGACCATACCATTTTACACTGAGTAACTTTATCATGGCCGTATTTTGATTCTTCTTAACTGCTTTTCCCGTGATCTCTCGTTCATTGCTCTCTACCTGCGAGCAATAATTCTCAGCAGCCCTTAAGGAGGTTCACTCTGTTTCTGAGCACAGTTCTGGTGCTTTCCTTTCAAGCCTCAAATCGACTGGGTCCTGGCTGTTATGACATGGCAGAGTGGGAAGCCTTGGAACAGCAAACACGCAAAACTGTTTCGCAACCCCAGCAGCCTCAGATTGCCTTAAAACTGCCTCTTATTACCTCTAGGGAAAAGCGCACCCCATTTATGGTGACAGATGTCCCACTGCCGGGAAGAAGCAAGATGGCTTATTTTAAATATTCTAACTGGAGTTGGGGTGCTCAGAGCCAGGGGAACACTGTGGCGGAATCTGCATTTGTCTTTCCCACCAGTGTCCCAGCTTTCTGACTCTGTCTTCAAAAAAGCTGTCTACATTTGGTGTTGTTTTCACACCTCAAGAGTGCTAGCATACTTTTGCACATCCACATATGTTTATCGTCCTTTCGGGGCAGCTCCACTGTCATTGCACCGCTGCACTGCTTTAAAAGAATTTTCTCCAAACAACTTTCACACAAGCATAGAGAAAGACGGCGTCACAGCAGCACAAAAATGATTTTGAAATGCAAATGCAGATTCGCCCCGTGTCGACCTTTTCAGTTAGATGCCAGTTGGCCGGAAGAGTGGGGACACCATCCACATTTCAGGATAGATCAAACATAACCCTTCCCACCTACAGGGGTCATTTCGTAGAAAAAGAGCTAGGGGGACTCATTAGCATAACTCATTAGCATATGCCACACCCCCTGACATCACTGGAAGTGTGTCCTCCCCACAGCCGGCGGCGACCTCCAGCGGGCACCAGCAGGGAGCTCAAGGCCCCGCCCTCCCGCACCTCACCCGGGGGGATGGCGTCCCCCCGAATCCCCCCCCCAAATGACCCCTGCCCACCTAGGGAAGGAAGTGTTAAAAGATTCGGTACTCTCTGTGCAAGTGACTCAAATTCGACACAGTAAAACCTAGAAAAGGGCAAGAGTCCAGTAGCACCTTACAGACCAACAAAATTTGTGGCAGGGGAGGAGCTTTTGTGAGAAATCTGTGGCAGGGTAGGAGCTTTCATGAGTCACTGCTCGCTTCTTCAGATAAGATCTACTGACAAAGTGCATTGAAAGTGGATCGAAAGTGCATTAATCAGCGTTCATGAAAGTGCCTACTCTGCTATGTATTCCCATTGACTCTGTGTTGTTTAGCTGTTAAAAGTGGTTTCTAGTTTAGGTAGGTAGGTAGGTAGGTAGGTAGGTAGGTAGGTAGGTAGGGAGAGAGAGAGAGAGAGAGAGAGAGAGAGATGATAGAGATAGATAGATAGATGATAGATAGATTCCTTTTATATTTATTTATTTATTTATTACTTCAATTTATACCCCCCTTGCCTGTCAGTTTCGATACAATATGCCAATAAAGGTTGATGATTGATTTATTGAATTTATACCCCGCCCTCCCTGCAAGCAGGCTCGGGGCGGCTTACATTAATTGATCTAAATTACATTTGATCTAATTGATTAATTCGATCTAAATTACATTTATGGCTTACATTTAAAGGTCTCAGACTGTGCCTATGTAACTCACTCACTACTAGCCTGCTCTTTTGTTCACACTTAAATTTCAAAACCTCTGGTCCAGTCAGATGATTTAGTTGGGGTCTGGGAGGAGGAGGGAAATCACTCCATACGTATGCACTCACTAGGGCTGCCGGCCTCCAGGTGGGACCTGGAGATCTCCCGCTTTTATGACTTGTCTCCAGCTGACAAAGATCAGCTCCTCTCGAGAAAATGGCTGCTTCGAAGGGTGGACTCTGTGGCATTGTGCCCTGCTGAGGCCCCTCCCCTCCCCAAACCCCGCCCTCTCCTGGCTCCACCCCCAGAGTCTCTAGGTATTTTCCAACCCAGACCTGGCAACCTGAGCACTCATACAACACCCATTTTCAGTGAGCTATTTTTTCACTGTGAAAGAGTTTTTTTGGGGTAGGTAGATAGTCCAGATGATGACAGCAAATTTACCTGAGGGACAGGAGTTGAGGGGCTAAGATGCTCTGCACTTGGGGGTCCAAGCCACTCCTTACACACTGATCCCCAGGTCTCTTGGAGACTTCCACCTTAGAAAAGTGACCAGGAGGGGAGGAAGATCAGGACTTTGGATGTTTAAAGGACTGTCACGTCCTATATGAATCCTTCCTGTATGAAGATTAAGATCTACCTCTAGGGTTGCCAGCATACAGGCGGGGTAGCGTTGCCAGCTCCAAGTTGGGAAATACCTGGCGATTTCAGGGGTGGAGCCTGAGGAGGGTGGGGAGGGGAGGGGAGGGGAGGGATTTCAGTAGGATACAATGCCACAGAGTTCACCTTCCAAAGCAGCCATTTTCTTCAGGGGAACTGGCCTCGGTTGCCTGGAGATCCACAGTAATAGCAGAAGATCTCCAGGCACCACCTGGAGGTTGGCAACTCTAAGGTGGGACCTGGAGCACCCCCCAGAATTATATCTGATCTCCAGGCTTCAGAGATCAGCTCCCCCCCAGATAAAATGGCTGGTTCGGAGGGTGCGCTCTGTGTGGCGCTATGCCCTGCTGAGGTCCCTCTCCTCCCTGAATTCTACCTTCCCCAAACTCCACCACCAATTGACATAAATTTCCCAACCAGGACCTGGAAACCCGACATAGAGACCTTGTTGCGTGTACTGGCTATGTGAATAGCCACAAACGGCAAGATCTTCTCTGTGTTACCATCATAATCAGTGGTAATTTCCTGCAGGAGCGCACAGGAGTGGAGCTCTGGCAGTAAAGAGCCCAGGGGGCGGGCACATGCAACAAGCCCCATCCCCTGCTCCCAGCAGCCCTCAGTCAGGGCAAAAAGCAACCAGGTAAGCTGCAGAGCCCCCCCCCCCCCGGCTCCCTGGTCCAAAACAGTCCAGTGGCACCTTTAAGACCAAGTTTTATTCAGGTACAAGCTCTCCCTCCTCTGTGAGGGCAGATCTGCGCGTCCTCCCCCCCGGTCAATAGCTAGCAATCCAAAACAGTCCAGTGGAGCCTGAGCAGTGGGTGTTGCCTTCTGACACACTTCCGGTGATGTCAGAGGGTGTGGCATATGCAAATAAATTATGCTAATGAGTTATGCTAATGAGCTCCTGCACCTCTTTTTCTATGAAATGACCCCTGATCATAATTATGGAAACATCTCTCTACCACATCTGCCTGGCACATTTTTTTGTCAAATGTTAGGTTAGGGTTACCAGGTCCCTCTAAGTCCCCAGTGGGGGACTTTGGGGGGCATTACTGGACGGGGTGGGGATGTCCCCGACATGATGACATCACACAGAAGTGATGTCATCGTGTTGGGGAGCAGCAGCCCCTGCCTCTCCCCAGCAGGGTTTAAAGGTCTCTTTAAATGCTGCTGGGAAGAGGGGAGGGGGAGGCCGCACAAGCCTGCTGTGCTCCGAGCTCCGAATTTGGGGCTCGGAACACAGCCACATGGCCTTCGCCTCTCCCTAGCAGTGCTTAAAGGGCTTTAAACACTGCTGGGAAGGGCAGGAGGCCAGGTGGTCCCTCTTAGGGGCAGGGCTTCCCCCCCACAGACCAGCCGGCTGGCAGTGGGAAAGAGCCCCCCCAAATCAGGAAACCCCTGCAGAACTGGGGAGTCTGGCAACCCTATTTAGATGCCAGTTCAAACATTTCTGTTCCAGACATTTGGTGCCTAAATTCCTCCTTAACTGATGTTTTTCAGTAAGCTGGCCATTGTCTTGAAAACCTGAATTCTTCATCCCCCCCCCTGCTTTTTAATTACATTTCAGTTATCGAAGCAGTACGGTCCTGTCTTCAGCATCCAAATGGGAGTCCAGAAAATGGTTGTCCTGACGGGCTACGAGACTGTGAAGGAGGCTTTGGTGAACCAGGCAGATGCCTTTGCCGGCAGGCCCATCATCCCAATCATTGAACGTACTCTGAAAAGCTATGGTGAGGACAATCCTTTGGAAGAATAAATGGTCTTGTTCATTTAAGTATCACCATCGCCAATTCTCCTAGGAGATACGCAAAGGGGAACTAGAACTAGGCTGGCTCCATCTATAGCTTGAAAGTAGTTTACCAGCTTTTCAACCATCATTTTATTTTTTTATTAATCACATTTATACCCCGCCCTTCCCACAATGCAGGCTCATGTATAGCTCTGCAGGCATTAGAAGGTGATAAAGTTTATTTCCATGTATGGAAACGTTCACCTGTCGATTTTTGCAGATCAAGCAACTTTTAAAAGAGTTGGATGAATCAGATAGTTTTAGTTCAGGGGTGTCAAACTCATTTGTTAGGAGGACCAGATCTGACATTGATGGGACCTTGTTGGGCCGGGCCACGTGTGTCATAAAATGTAATGCCAGGTAGCGGAGATATAAACTTTATAAAGGACGCAAACAGAAAGGGTGGTTGTTGTTTTTTAACTTAAAATAAAAGCATGCTTAAAACATTAGCACTCTTGCAATATTTTGTTTATTTAACAGTGTCTGATAACTGACACCTCTGGCTCTGAATTATTTCACCAAAATGTCTGTGCTGTTGCAATCTTAAGTATGCCGTTCAGGTGTGTATCTGTAAGCTGCAAACCTACGATGACGAAGCAGCAGCAGAACTGGAAGAAGAAGCAGAAGACAGCCAGTTCCACTGTGGGCCTGATAGAAGCCCTCCGGTGGGGCTGAGGTGGCCCCCGGGCCACATGTTTGACACCCCTGTTTTAGTTGGTAGGCTTATTATTTCAATTTGTTTTAAAGGTGTGTTTTCTTGCACCATAAAGCTCAAGCCATACATAACTTTTGTAAGAGATCTCTCACCTAGACCTGTTGAGTTCTAACATAGTGCTCCCACACAGTACCCTCAGCTAAATCTCCTCAGCTGAAAGCAAATTAAAAAAAAACACTCACTCCTCCAGCAGCTCTGTCTCCTGCTGCTTCTCAGAGTTTAGCCTGGTCAGCTCTAGGTTGGTTTTTTTTTTTTGGCAAATCTCTTTGGTAAAATTAGGCTCAAGCCAGAAGATCCTGGGATGGACCCTGGAGCCCTCCGCCAGCAGCCAGGTAGAACCTGGCAACCCTAGCAGCAGTGGCGGAGTAGGTGAGGCAAGGTAGAAGGGACTGCAGAGGCAAGTGCCCTCAGCCAACACTGTGGATTAAACTGACCATGTGGGTCTTAGAATCATAGAACGTTAGAGTTGGAAGGGACCTTGCAGGTCATCGAGTCCAACCCCCTGCCCTCTGCAGGAGCATCGCCGAAAGAGAGCCCTACAACATACCCGAAAGATGGTCGTCCAACCTCCGCTTAAAAAACATCTAGCGAAAGAGCATCCACCACCTCCCGAGGCAGACTGTTCCACTGCTCAACCACTCTTACAGTTAGGAAGTTTCTCCTGATATTCAGCCGGTAACAACTCCCTTGTAATTTCCACCCATTAGACCTAGTCTTGCAATCCAGAGCAAGAGAGAATAGATCTGCTCCATCTTCCACATGACAGCCCTTCAAATATTTAAAGACTGCAAACATGTCCCCTCTAAGCCTTCTCTTTCCCAGGCTAAACGTACCCAACTCTTTCAGCCTTTCCTCATAAGACTTGGATTCCAACCCTCTCACCATCCTGGTTGCCCTCTTCTGGACGCGCTGAAGCTTGTCAACATCCTTCCTAAAACGTGGTGCCCAAAACTGGAAACAGTACTCCAGGTGAAACCTGACCATAGCAGAATAGAGCGGAACTACCACCTCCCATGATCTGGACACAATGCTTCTGTTAATGCACCCTAAGATTGCATTGGCTTTCTTCGCAGTCACATCGCACTGCAGGCTCATGTGTAGCTTGTGATCAACCAGAACACATAGATCCCTTTCACATGTGCTGCTCTCAAGCCAAGCCCCTCCCATTCTATATCCGTGCCTCTGATTTTTTGTACCTAAGTGTAGGACTTTGCACTTATCTCTACTGAAATCCTTGATCATATGAAGACCTTGGTTCTCTCCCACATGGTATCTGGGACACAGCAAAAGGTGGCCAATCTTTGTCCTGGTCCTCCTTACATACAGCTCTTGGGTTTTGTGAATACAGCCATAAGGGTCATGACAGCTCTTGAAACCAGCCCTTTGTTTCCTTTCAGGGGTTGTTTTTTCTCACGGTGAGAACTGGAAGGTGATGCGACGGTTCATGTTAACCACACTGCGTGACTATGGAATGGGCAGGAAGACCACAGAGGACAGGATTGTTGAAGAATGCCATTTCCTAATACAGAAATTTGAATCCTACAAAGGTGGGTCAGTGTTGTCTTCAGTGCTCTAAGAACATGTCTACAAGGCATAGTATAGATTGATTTTTGTAATCATTCACTATCATGTCTCCCCCCTCCCAAAGAATTGTAGTGTGAGGACACTGACATTTGTTTCTTTATTTATTGACTTCTAAGACTACAGTTCCCAGAATTCCCTGAGGAGACACAATTAACATTAAACTTGTTTAAGCCCGTAGTGTATATGGGCTATGGCTCAGTGGAAAAGCCTCTGCTTTGCATCCAGAAGATCCCAGGCTCAGTCCCTGGCATCTCCAGTTGAAAAGACCAGGCAGCAGGTGATATGAAAGATCTTGTGCCCGAGACCCTGGAGAACTACTGACGACCCTGACCTTGATGGACCAATGGTCTAATTCAATATAAGACAGATGTGTCGGTATGTCCAGCAAGAGTTCTTATAGCATTCCAGTCCTGTGTAGCATTTCTGAGTCAAAACAACCCCAAGCATAACACTTAACAACATAGATCATATGAAAGATCCCTGCTTGGGACCCTGGAGAGCTGCTGCCAGTCTGAGTAGACAATCACAACCTTGATAGACCAGTGGTCTGATTCAGTATGAGGTAGCTTCATGTGTATATCCAGTAAGGAGTTCTTATGACATTTATTATTCTTACTAGCTTTTCTTAATAGCATGGACTCTAATCTGGGAGAACCGGGTTTGATTCCCCACTCCTCCACATGGAGCTGCTGGAGTGACCTTGGGTCAGTCACAGTTCTCTCAGAGCTATTCTGGAAAGAGAAGTTCTCAAAAGAGCTCTCTCAGCCCCACCTATCTCATAGGGTCTCTGTTGCGGGGAGGGGAAGGGACAGGAGATTGTAAGCCGCTCTGAGACTCCTTTGGGTAGTGAAGGGCAGGGTATAAATCCAATCTCTTCTTCTTCTTCTTAGTCAGAACAACACCAAGTGTCACACTTCAGTGCCTACATAGTAGATAGCATGAGTAGTGTGAATTCATTGAGGGTCCCCTCCCCCCAGTTTCTAGATAGATGTGTACATCTCCAAAAGTATTGGAGTCCCAGGACAGCTGGTTCTTCCTGTTTCCAGCAGACATTAGCTGTACAGTGTGCAAATTGGGTGGCCCTGTGACAATCACAAAAGCCACCTTCCCATCTGGCTGTGCAGAGGACAGATTGGCTAGAGCACAAAACGGTGACAAACACATACACTCCCATAGTTCACCTTGAGCATAGTTCCAAGATGTTTTTAAAAAGTAATTGAAGTGTCTTAAAAGAAGCATTGAGAATGACTATATAAATGGATGGATATGTCTGCCACTTGGTGGGAAAGAGGGTTTTAACAAGTCAAACACCTACCCAAACATAGGAGGCCTGAAAATTCAAATTAGAGTCAAAGCTATGAAGGTTTGTTAGGAGAAGAGGAAGGACCGGTTGAAGGACAGACCACCTCTCCTGCTCCTGGTAAGTTGTACTGCTGTCTTCTCCTTAATATCAAAGCAATAGCGAGGCTCTTTCTGAAGTAAATACTGGCTTCTTTTTGTTATAGGAAAGCCATTTGAGACCACTGTAATCATGAACGCTGCTGTCGCCAACGTTATAGTGTTCATATTACTCGGCAAGCGCTATGACTATGAGGATCCCACTTTTGTGAGACTACTGAACTTGGTCAATGAAAATATCCGGCTTGCCGGAAGTCCCTCGGTCACGGTAATCTAGCCATTCATAATTGGCCAAATAGCTGTTTGGTGTCTTGCTACATACAGTGCAGGCAGCTTCCATGGGAACTCCCGTTAGAGAATGGGGCCAGGGAGAAGGAGGGGGGTCACCATCGCATTGACAGTGTGACATCATTTCCAGGGCAAACCCACACCACGCAGCAGAAACACTATGATTTTACCATAGAATTTCTGTTCAGTCCTAGAGCAGAGAGATGTCCCTTCCCCGTTTCCCCCAGAAATGGCATTATACCATTGATACAATGGCCATTTTTGCATTATTTTTCCCCAGGCTTACTGAGCAGTCATGGGGATCAGGGGCTGCCAGTGGTATCTGTCCTGCTATTGTTACCCAGATTGGTAGTCTCCTAATTAATTGGGGGAATTAGTGTAATTGGAGACAAGTGAGAGTGCAGTGTCCCCTCTAAGCTGAGTTAGGCCCCGGTCACACGAGAGGTTTTGGGCCGGTAGAGGGACGGATCGGGGGCGCAGCAAACGGGCGCGATCCCACAGCAACATCTGGAAAGTGTTGTGCTTGCATCCCCGATCCACCCCTTCCACCCAAAACCCCGCTGCAAAAATGAACCACCTACCATGGTGGTTCATCCGAGACGGCCGCATCAAAGCCGGTGGTGAGATCGCCGGCGTGTCCTTTCACCGGCGCATCCCCGGCTCCAGCCCAAACTGTGCATGCTTAGGCATGCGCAGTTCGGCAGCCTCCCCCTCCCGACTGTGGCTTCCTCCCCGGCATCTGATCATGCCGGGGCGCAACAGCGCCGCGGCTAAGGGGATCCGTAGGATCCTGCCGCGGCGTCTCTATTTTGGTGCGGCTCTAATTTGCCACACTTTGGCCGGTGTTTTCCCTGCCATGTGGCAGGGACCTTAGTATCAGCTAGCTCACAGTTTTTTAGTCTCCGGCTCACACGTTTTTGTCTTAGCTCAGGAAGGATGGCTCCAGAGCACAGTAAATCCCACAGCAACCCAGTCGCTCACTCGCAGCTTTAATTCCAGTAGCTCACAAAGTAGAATTTTTGCTCACCAAGACTCCACAGCTTAGCGGGAACAAAGGTGAGAGGTGGTAACTGGGGGACTTCCACCAATGTTTCCGAGGGTTATTCCTTGAGACCCGGTGAACAAACCAGGCTGAAGTACAACAGGAAAGGTGTTTCGTTATAAAAGCAGAAAGAGCAAAACATACAATTCAAAACAGCGTCGGGGGCTGCCAGTGGTAGGTGTCAGCCAGTAATGTGTTTGTGGTCTGTGTTTCCTCCACTTAATATGAGGTTTCCATCAGCATTACGTTGTTGCAACTTCATGGTTATGTTATGCCAGCACAGCTTTAAGGGTGGAGGAACCTTCTGAGATATAAGTGTGCTGACCAGGGTATTCTGAACAGATCTTGCAACCATGGGAGTGATCATTCCAGGGTTTGAGGGAGCTGTAGGTATTGGGGGAGGGGCATGAGAAAAGTGTGCCTTCCACACACAGATGGTAGGAAACTACAATTTCTTAGAATGAAGTAGCTGTTGCCGACTGTTTTGATGAACAAGACAGAATTCCTAAAAGCCAGGTTAATTTAATAATTGAGCTGATAGCTGTAAATTGTAACATTTTAGGCCATTTTTCATCCTGCAGTACTAATTCAGAATTCTATTTGTCTTTTACCAAAATACCATTTTTAAACTCAAGGGACTGTACCAGGCAGCTTGGATTACCTGCCTTTCTATAAAGCATTTTAGAACTGTACAGATTAAAGTAAACCAAAAAAAAAAAAAAAGGTGTCCTGCTATAGCTGACTGAAGGGTCCAGTAAGACCTATACGACCCCCAGACCTCTCACCCGACACAGCCTCTCCTAGACTTAGCGGTGCAGGTGGGTTAGGAAGTCACTGGTTTGTCACCCAACTTGTCCCTCTCTGTCCCCCCCCCAAAGACCCCTGATGCTTTTACTCACCAGGTTGTGGTTGTCGTTCCCAGAGACACCTCCAGACAGGCCAGGCCAGTTCCCCTTTCAGCTACCCCTCATGCAGGCATTCCCATGAGCTCGTGGGTTAGGGAACCAGGTGGACGCCATCCCACCTCCCTCTCACACTCAGCCCTCTGAAGTGTAGTGGGGTAGACGCATGGAGAAACCACTAAGACCAATGTAGTGATCAGCATGGTTTACTGGTACACAACCAAGACAAAGGCAAACGGCCGGCAGGCCAACTATATACATACCTGGGGACACACCCCTAGGTACCGTTGGAGGGTTTAAATCTCCCGCCATGGTCCCATTGGTTTCCCAGTGGAGAGACCAGGAGCCTAGTCCCCATTGGCTCTGGAGTGTTCGCTGGCCCCTGGTGGCGGTCAGTGGACACAACACCCTCCCTGCTCTAACTGTCCTAACCGTCCCCTGGCAACCTTCCCCCAACATTCCATTAGCTCTCATTGGCTGCACTCTGGGAGAGGGAGAACGGGACCTGTCCATCACAGACTAACTTGGAGTTACAATATGGGCCCTTGAAGATGAGTGACTTATCTTGTGGTCTGTAAGCTGGGGCCCCGGTCACACAGAGGATTTGCTGCGCTAAAGGCATGAATGTCAGGTGGATTTTTGGGGCGCGATCACACCACAACATCTGGGAAGCGTAGCGCACCCATGGCCAACCCGTGGCATCCCGCCAAAGATGCACAGTAAAAAAAGTACCTCAGAAAGTGCACTAGTATCCGGAAAACACGGGGCGGGGCGGGCGTCTGATCGTGGGAGCGCTAGTATCCCATGGCATCTGGCACCCATCCACATCCCGTCGCAAACCGGATGTTTTTCATAAGCACATGCGCACAAACACGTAACTGAAAGCAGTGCTTCTCTGCGGAACTGTGCATGCGCACAAATGCGAAACGCTTGCCGCACTGCTTCTTTGCCACGTTCCAGCATCGCTGTGTGATCGCCAGCTAACAGCCTAAGCGCGAAAACTCAGGGGACCATGTGATCTGGCTACCGCGCTTTATTTTGCTCCAGGGTGAACAGCCATGCCTCCCCCCCTCCGCATTATCTGGCCCGTGTGACTGGGGCCTGGGTTGAACATGACTTTTGACTCTGGCCTGTTTGTTGTAGGGATGCCAGTCCCCAGGTGGGGGGGATCCCCTGATTTTGGGGAGGTCCCCCAGACGTCAATCAGCTGGCTGGTCGGGGTAGGCCCCACCCCCACAGTTGTCCATGGCCCCTCCATGCCCAAAACTCCTCTTGAAACCCCCCTGACACTCTCGCTACGTCAACCCTTTCTTCAGTCTGGACTGCCCTCCCAATGAGAGCATTCAACAATTAAAACTTCTGTGGCTGGTTATAATGTAAAGGTAAAGGTTCCCTTGCTCGAAAGCCAGTCGAATCCGACTCTAGGGTTGCGGTTTCCAATCCCCGTTTCCAAGCCGAAGAGCCAGCACTGTCCGAAGACGTTTCCATGGTCATGTGGCCGGCATGACTAAACACCAAGGCGCATGGAACGCCGTTACCTTCCCACCGAAGTGGTACCTATTTATCTACTTGCAATTTCTTGCTTTCGAACTGCTAGGTTGGCAGGAGATGGAACTAGAGATTGGAGCTCACTCCGTCATGCGGCACACTCGTGTCTCGAACTGCTGAACTACCGACCTTCTACAGCCTGCAGTTCAGCGTCTTAACCACCTTAAAAACCATTTCTTATTGCCTGATTTACTGAGTGTCAGCAGTCAATACCAAATGCTTTTTTTTTTTTTTTTTTTGGTCCCCTTGCTGGCTGAGAGATGGTAAGATTGCAAGTTCAGGGGTTGCATTCATTTCTAGAGCAGGAACCAAGGAAGCTGCGCAGAGTGGGTAGATCGACTGGGATGGATGACAGAACACAGCACCAAATGAATATGGGATCCTTTGGGGTCGATTCTCTGAGCAGATGGAGCAAAGATTTTTTTAGTTATTATAATTGTGTGATAAATTATGACGTTTTATGTGTTGCTTTATGTATTTTACGTTTTTATGCAAGCCGCCCTGAGCCTGCCTCAGTGGGGAGGGTGTGATATAAGTTGAACAACCAAACAACCAAACAAATAAAAGTGCTTTAAAGTCTGCCTGAGTTGTGCCATTTAACCCCGGGGCTTTCTTAATCTTTTCCTTTCTCCTGTGTTATTCCTGTAGCTGTTCAACATGTTTCCTGCTCTGGGCTTTCTTTCTGGTGGTCTCAACACTGTCCTTAAGAACAGGAAAGAGTTGCGTGCCTTCATACAGGCCACCTTCATCGAACACCTCAAACATCTGGATTTGAATGACCAGAGGAGCTTTATTGATTCTTTTCTAATCCAACAGCAAGAGGTAAGAGCATCTGCAAACATGCCAAGTAGGGGTGTGAATTCAGATCTACACACGCCAAAAATATATCCCAAAAATACCTAATTGGAATTTTTTGAATATATGTCGGCATTCCCAAAGATATCCAGGATATTTTTTTTGGAAAAACAAAAACAAAATCCCAGATATATTTGGGAACTGGGAAGATTGGCAAAGTCATCAAAAAAAATAATAGGTGAGTGGTGGGAACAGATTGGGAAGGCTTCTGGAATTCTGGCCCAACTGGTGGACCTCCTGATGAAACCTGGGTTTGGGCTACTGTGTGACACAGTGTTGGACTGGATGGGCCATTGGCCTGATCCAGCATGGCTTCTCTTATGTTCTTAAGCTACTGTAAAATGCTTTGCCATTCTTTGTGTTTGTTTCTTTGATAATGATCAAAAGCATAGAGACATAAATTTGACCAAATAATCTAGATCTGTCTATACAAACACTCACCCCACTCCTTTAGTTTATATCATTTCTTTCTTCTTATCTCCTAGGAGAAAAAGAAGAGCAAGAGTAATGAGTTTTTCCATAATGAAAACCTATTGGCTGTTGTGAACAACTTATTTGGTGCTGGAATGGAGACCACTTCGACTACCTTGCGTTGGGGCCTATTGCTGATGATGAAGTACCCCGAAATTCAGAGTGAGTGCTTTCCATTGGTTGGTTCCCATGATTCCAGGATATCTAGACTCCAGTTACGTATAGTGATAAGAAGGGAAAGAACTCTCAGGTTGCCTTTGGATACTACCTGGATGAGGGAGAACAGGAAGCACCAGTGAGTTATACTTCCTGTTTTCCCCCAGCTGGTATAATATTGAAAAAGGAAGGAGTTGTGAACGGCTTGAACTCCTCTCACTTTTGACCTCTGGAGCTTGCACACCTCCCTCACTAAGTTTCCTTTCTATACTGGGGTGCTAATCAGTGGTAATAAAAAGTACACCCCCACATAGGTAAAGGACAGAAGATGCTTACTGCATTGTTTTTATATATGTACTACCATTTTCTGAATTGTTGAATCATATCAGCTTGATATAGCGGTCAGTGTCGGATTAAGCTTTGGAGTCCCTGCTCTGCCACCAAAGCTCTCTGGGTGACCTTGGGCCAGTCACACAGTCTCCACCTGATCCACCTCTCAGGGTTGTTGTGACGATAAAATGAAAAACAAGGAGGAGGGTGTAAGCTGCTTCGAGTCTCCATTTGGGGAGAAGGGTGGAGTATAAATGAAGTGAATAGATAAATTCATGTTTAATACTTGATGCCTTGCTCCGGGTTGCTCTAATCCTATTTTCAGGGATCATTTCCTGCAGGAGCGCACAGGAGCGGAGCTCCGGCAGTAAAGAGCCCAGGGGGCGGGCACATGCAACAAGCCCCACCCCCTGCTCCCAGCAGCCCTCAGTCAGAGCAAGAAGCAGCCAGGTAAGCTGAAGAGCCCCCCCCAGCCCCCCAGTCCAAAACAGTCCAGTGGCACCTTTAAGACCAAGTTCTATTCAGGTACAAGCTCTCCCTCCTCTGCAAGGACAGATCTGCACATCCCCCCCCCAATATCTAGCAATCCAAAACAGTCCAGTGGAGCCTGAGCAGTGGGTGTTGCCTTCTGAAACACTTCTTGTGATGCCAGGGGGTGTGGCATATGCAAATAAGTCATGCTAATGAGTTATGCTATGTGCTCCGGCCCCAAATGAGCTCCTGCACCTCTTTTTCTACGAAACGACCCCTGCCTATATTGATTGTAGTCATTTATAATACAAAGGCATGCTCTCAATAAAGTAATCGATCAATCAGTCAATCAGTCAAGATACCCGGCTAATGAAGAACATGATCAAGTGACTGTGATGAGAGTTCCTCGGTTCAGTGGTCTTCCTCTCAATTAACATGAAAGGAGGACCATCTTTCTGTGGTCTAAAACTACTAACAAGATTCACAGACTCCCCTCCCAAAGGAGCCCATTAAGCCCCGCCCCTCATTGTTGGTCCTGATGCACAAATTTGTGTCCCATGTGCCCCTTGGAAATATAGAGTCAGTATCATCTGTAAATTGATGACACCCAACCCCAAAGGTCTGGACAACATCATAGAGCAGCTATATATATATATATCTGTACTTCATATATATATGAAGAGAGAGAGAGAAAGAGAGAGAGAGTGCATGGGTGAAACCATGTGGCACGCCACAAGGTAAATTCCACCCAGTTGATTCCGTATCTCCAGTTCAGACCCTTTGTCTCTGGTCAGACGGAAAAGAACAAAACCACAGATTGGCTATGTTCTTAATACCAACCCCATTTTCAAGCCAATGGACAAGAATGGAGTGGTCAACTGTCTCCAAAGCTGCTGAGAGATCCTACGGTATCAACAGGGAAGGTTGACCCCATCCAACTTTAATGAGACTGAGAAAAACATCTCTGCCAAAAAAAAAAAAAAAGCCCTCCTCTCAGTGCTCCCATGAAATAACAAGGATGCCGGGAAACCTCACATAAAGCTAGTGATAAAAGACTGTTGTTTTGGGGTTTTTTTTAAGTACCTGAGGGTACACATTTATTGTTTTCTTATATTCCTAAACACAGACATACACAACTACAACAAACAACATATAACCAAGAGACTAATTACAATTTGTTACTATACCTAATCCATCGCTTCATTATTCTCTAATATTTGTTAATATTATCTAATTTCACTATTATATATTACTACATACTCAAATATTATTTTTGCCATATCAGCTTAATCTATATTCCTGTTTGGTTGGTGTTTCTTGAATCTTCCAATATTTGGCATATAATATCCTTGCCGCCATTGACATGGATACAATCAGGTATCTATCAGTTGCCTCGAATTCATTCGGAAAAATATTTAACAATAGCAATTCTGGAGTAAAAGGGATGTTACATCTTACTATTTTTTTCCATTATACAGTGCACCTATTTCCAATTTTTTTTTGAAAAATCACATAACCACCACATATGATAAAATGTGCCTGTCTTATTTTTACACTTTCAGCATTTATCTAAACAATTGCCACTTTGCTTTGCTAACCTATCTGGAGTAACATACCATCTGTAAAACATCTTATACATATTTTCTTTATAGGCCACAGCATTAGTCATGTTAACATTTTTCATCCATATTTGCTCCCAATCATCTAAATTCACAATATGACCTAAATTCTGAATCCATGTTGTTTTTTGAAGGCGCTGGTCCATACAAAATGTCATATCATTGACAGCTTTGCTCAGGTCTTGCAAACTGAAGGCTGTGGCTTTCTTCACTGAGCCAATCCACAGTATATTGGGTATTCCTCTTTTCCTACTGCCTTCAACTTTTCCTAGCACTATTGTCCTTTCCAGTGACTCTTGTCTTCTCATGGTGTGACCAAAGTACAATAACCTCAAGTTAGTCACTTTAGCTTCTAGGGAGAATCCAGGCTTGATTTGATCTAGGACCCACTAGTTTGTCTTTTTGGCAGTCCACGGTATCTGTAAAACTCTCCACCGACACCACATTCCAAATTAATCAACTTCCTTCCTGTCCGCTTTCTTCACCGTCCAACTCTCAGATCCATACATAGTAGCAGGGAATATCATTGTGTGATTTAAGAAATGTTTCATCTCCTCAGATAAGGTCCAAGAAGAAATTACAAAGGTGATTGGGTCTGCTCAGCCTCAGATTGAACACCGATCGAAACTGCCGTATACAGAGGCGGTAATCCATGAAGTCCAGAGGTTTGGTAACATTGTCCCTATGAATTTGCCACACGCCACCACTGTGGACGTCACTCTGAATGGCTATTTCATTCCAAAGGTGATCCATCTTAATTAATTGTATTAACTTTAGAGCCTTAGGCCATTGGATATCTGTTCATTTGTTGCTATGCTCGAGCGTGTCCAGAAGAGGGCAACCAGGATGGTGAGAGGGTTGGAATCCAAGTCTTAGGAGGAAAGGCTGGAAGAGTTGGGTATGTTTAGCCTGGGAAAGAGAACGCTTCAAGAGACACGAATGCAGTCTTCAAGTATTTGAAGGGCTGTCATGTAGAAGATGGAGCGGATCTATTCTCTCTTGCTCCGGTTTGCAAGAATCAATCTAACAGGGGGGAATTACAAGGGAGTCGATACCGGCTAAATATCAGGAGAAACTTCCTGACTGTAAGAGTGGTTGAGCAGTGGAACAGACTGCCTCAGGAGGTGGTGGATGCTCCTTCGCTGGACGTTTTCAAGCGGAGTCTGGAAGACCATCTGGGTATGTTGTAGGGCTATCTTTTGGCTGTGCTCCTGCAGAGTGCAGGGGGTTGGAGTAGATGACCGGCAAGGTCCCTTCCTACTCTAACATTCTATGATTCTATAAAACTTTACGAAGAGGCCACTTTTCAGATGCTGAGGAACTTCAGAGCCAGTCAGACAAGTCATTTGTAATCCTCATTCATTTCAATGGGAGATATCTAAACATAGAACTGGCCCATCCGTGATGCACCTGGACAATAGCTCAGGGCACCAGAGGAGGACTGGTATCACAACCAGCCCTGTTAGCATCACAGCTGCCTACTTGCAACATTGGAGTCTCCCATAGCAAGCAGTACCCTCACATGGCCCCGCTGGCCCTACTGGGAAGCCCAAAGAGAGCCTGTTCCTTTCTTCTTCTAACCACGCTGAGCTGCAGGCTGGAAGGTCAGTAGTTCAGCAGTTCAAGACCCGAGAGCCGCATGACCGAGTGAGCTCCCGTCTCTGGCCCCAGCTCCTGCCAACCTAGCAGCTCGAAAGCAAGAAATTGCAAGTAGATAAATAGGTACCACTTCAGTGGGAAGTTAACAGTGTTCCGTGGGCCTTGGTGTCTAGTCGTGCCGGCCATGTGACCACAGAAACATCTTCGGACAGCGCTGGCTCTTCGGCTTTGAAATGGAGATGAGCACCACCCCCTAGAGTCGGATTCAACTGGCTTTCGAGCAAGGGAAACCTTTACCTTTTTACCTTTAGGGTGATGGGCAGGTTGGGGGGCAGGATCCTTTTCCAGGGCTGTTTTTGCCTCCCAGTCCACAACTGATGAGAGGTACGGCACCACAGCATTGTCTCCAGTAAAGGCAGTGTGAGTGGCACCATCTCCACAGTGCAGAGTGGAGAAGAGGGCAGGTAGTGGATCCCCCCGTGGTGTGCAGGGTGGAGAAGTCGTTTGCCTTGAGTGACAAAAATCCTCGGGCAGTCTCCTGTCTAATTGACTATGCCAAACAGTATTTTTGTTCGTTTGTTTCAAAAATTGCAATCATAGTGATACCCTTGATGAGCCATCTTCATTTTCTCTCTGTCACAAATCCGGAAGCTGCAGCTAGTGTAGAATGCTGCGGCCAGGCTGTTGTTGGGTCTCTCTAGGCGAGACCATATCCGGCCTGGGCTGCACTGGCTGCCAATAGCATACCGGATTCGCTTCAAAGTGCTGGTTCTTACCTTTAAAACCCTAAATGGCCAGGGTCCGGCCTACCTGAAAGACCATCTCTTCCCGTATGTTCCCCCAAGAGCACTATGATCAGGGAGCCTCCACCTCCTGGAAGTTCCAGGTCCCCGAGAGATTAAGTTTGCCCCTACTAGGGCCAGGGCTTTTTCGGTGGTGGCTCCTACCTGGTGGAACGAGCTCCCGGGGGAGATCCGGGCCCTGCGAGACCTTGCGCAGTTCCACAGGGCCTGCAAGACGGAGCTCTTCTGCCAGGCTTATGAGTAGGAGCTGCTGCCGCCACTACCCCACCACCGCGGTAGTGTGTCATCGGCTGTCCCCACTAAAGGGGGGTAAGCATTGCCTGGCAGGAGTTTACAGACAGGGTGTGGGAGACCACGCTATCGAGATAGCTGGCCGCCAAAATTGGGGTGGTTGTTCCCATCTTGGAAGAATTGACATAGGAAGATTACAGCACCATGATGTAGTATGGATTTTATTGTGGTTTTAAATGTTGTTATTCTGTTACATGTTTTATTGTATTTTATATCTTGGCTTTGCCGCATGTGAGCTGCCCTGAGCCTTTGGGAAGGCGAGATACAAATCAAAACATAAATAAATAAATAAAATAATAATGCATCAATTTGGCTTCGCAGGGCACGCATATCGTTCCATTACTGTACTCCGTGCTGTGCGATGAATCTCAGTGGGAAAAACCACATCAATTCTATCCGGAGCACTTCCTCGATCCCGAAGGAAAGTTTGTCAAGAGAGACGCCTTCCTGCCTTTCTCTGCCGGTAACTCCTTATAGATGTATCACTGCGGGTTTAATTAATAGATCAGGTACCCAAGTCCATTTTCTTGGAAGAACCCCATCCTGGCTGGCCATTTCTTATTTATTCTTTCAAGATTAGCATTATTCTTCAGTACTGTTGGTCATTGTGTTGCGATGTACTTCAGTCTGTTTTCCTGTTTACTTTTTTGTGTTTTTATGATAAATTATGGTATAAAAGTATTACGAAGAAATCAATTAAACTGGGCTTCCCTGCATTGTCACAGGGCGGCGAGTGTGTGCTGGTGAGACCCTGGCCAAAATGGAGCTCTTCCTCTTCTTTACGAGTCTCCTGCAGAGATTCACCTTCCAGCCAGCCCCTGGGATGTCTAAAGAAGACCTGGACCTGACCCCTGCAGTTGGGCTCACGACACCTCCGATGGCCTACGATTTGTGTGCTTTGCCACGTTCTTAACAACCAACCAAGCTTAGCTCCCCTGTGCGCACCACCCCCTTTTATGGAATGTCTTGCATGTCAAGGACATTTCATGTTCAGAGGAAATGGCATCTGCTTTGTCACAAAACTTAGTGTTTCACATGCCTCTCTGTGAAAGCCCCGCAAGTTAGGTCAGAGACAGCAAGTTCAAAATTTGGACATCACTTCTAGAGTAATTTGCTGTCCGGAGAAAAAAAATGACAATCTTTCTGTGTCGGCTGATTTCTTGTATTCGCAGATTACAAATGCCTTTGAATCAGCAAGAGAACAAAGTTGGGGTAGAGTAATCTCGACATCCAAATGAGATCCATTCAGTACGACCAGCTGTGTAGACCAGAGGTGTCCAACTCATCTGTTACAAATCTGACAAAAATGTTACTTTGTCGGGCTGGGCCATGTCTGCCCCAAAATGTAATCCCAGGTACTGGAGATACAAACTTTATAAAGGACACAGGCAAACCCAGTTAAAGATATTATTTTTAACTCAAAAAAGCAATTGATTCCTAGGAGTGAAAGCAATTGTTTTACTGAGGAATCCAGAAAAGCCCCCATAAATGTATTTAATCTGTAAGCCGCCCTGAGCCTGCGGGGAGGGCAGGATAGAAATCCAAATAAATAAATAAATAAATAAATAAATAATCCTATGCAAGACTTGTTTTTTCCCCAAGGGATGCCATACCCTCCCCCTAGCCATTTCCTTTCATTCTTTGACAGCTTCAACCACACACACCTCACCGTGTGTGCCCCTGTGCCCCAGGAGCAGCCTCCTGCCTTCCCTCCCTAACACCAGTTGCTCGCAGGCAGGATAAGAGCCCTGGATATGCCAGTTCCAGTCCCCAGGCCATATGTTTACACCCTTGGTGTAGACAGAGCTTTTTTTTAAAAAATTGCTGATTTCTTATATTTACACATTAAAGGTAAAGGTAAAGGTTCCCTTGCTCGAAAGCCAGTCATATCCGACTCTAGGGTTGCGGTGCTCATCTCCGTTTCAAAGCCGAAGAGCCAGTGCGGTCCGAAGACATTTCTGTGGTCATGTGGCCGGCATGACTAAACACCAAGGTGCACGGAACGCTGTTACGCATTACACATTACAGATGTCTTTGAATCACCAAACAACCAAACATCCAAATTGGGCTACAGCAATGATCCACTTCCAAGTGAGATCCATCCAGTAGAACCAACTATGTCGACAAATTGCTGTAGGTTTTGAGGTGATGAGAGAGGAGGTCCTAAAACTGATAGACAACTTAAAAACTGAAAAATCACCAGGCCCAGATGGCATACATCCGAGAGTTCTGAAAGAACTCAAATGTGAACTTGTAGATCTCCTGACAAAGATATGTAATCTTTCCTTAAAATCTGCCTCCATTCCTGAGGATTGGAAGGTAGCTAATGTCACTCCCATCTTTAAAAAGGGTTCCAGAGGAGATCCGGGAAATTACAGGCCAGTCAGTCTGACGTCGATACCGGGTAAATTGGTGGAAACCATTATTAAGGAAAGAATTAGTAGGCACATAGATGAACAAAACCTATTGAGGCAGACTCAGCACGGTTTCTGTAAGGGAAGATCTTGTCTCACGAACCTGTTAGTGTTCTTTGAGGGGGTGAACAAACATGTGGACAAGGGGGATCCAATAGATATTATTTACCTTGACTTCCAGAAAGCTTTTGATAAAGTTCCTCATCAAAGGCTCCTAAGTAAGCTCAAAAATCATGGGATAGAAGGACAAGTCCTTTTATGGATCAAAAACTGGCTAGTTCATAGAAAACAGAGAGTGAGTGTAGGTGGGCAATTTTCTCAGTGGAGGGTGGTAAGCAGTGGGGTACCACAGGGATCAGTACTTGGTCCACTGCTTTTTAACTTGTTCATTAATGATTTGGAGATGGGAGTAAGCAGTGAAGTGGCTAAATTTGCGGATGATACAAAGTTGTTCAGGGTGGTGAAAACCAGTGAGGATTGTGAGGCACTCCAAGGGGATCTGTCAAGGATGGGCGAGTGGGCGTCAACATGGCAAATGGGGTTCAATGTGGCCAAGTGCAAGGTGATGCACATTGGAGCCAAAAATCCTAAATATAAATACACATTGATGGGGTCTGAACTGGCAGAGACTGAGCAAGAGAGAGATCTTGGAGTTGTAGTGGATAACTCACTGAAAATGTCGAGACAGTGTGTGACTGCAATAAAGAAGGCCAATGCTATGCTGGGGATTATTAGGAAGGGTATTGAAAACAGATCAGCCAATATAATAATGCCCCTATATAAATCAATGGTGAGACCTCATTTGGAATACTGTGTGCAGTTCTGGGCACCACACCTTAAAAAGGATATTATAGCTTTGGAAAAAGTGCAGAAAAGGGCAACTCGAATGATAAAAGGGTTGGAACACTTTCCCTATGAGGAAAGGTTAAAGCGCTTAGGGCTCTTTAGCTTGGAGAAAAGACGACTGAGGGGTGACATGATCGAGGTTTATAAGATTATGCATGGGAAAGAGCAGGTAAAGAAAGAGGTACTTTTCTCCCTTTCTCACAATACAAGAACTCGTGGGCACTCCATGAAACTGCAGAGCGGTCGGGTTAGAACGGATAAAAGGAAGTACTTCTTCACCCAAAGAGTGATTAACACATGGAATTCACTGCCACAGGAAGTGGTGGGTGCTACAAGCATGGACGGCTTCAAAAGGGAATTAGATAAGCATATGGAGCAGAGGTCCATCAGTGGCTATTAGCCACAAGGTATAGCTAGGGGCTCTGGGGCAAGTGATGCTCTGTCTTCTTGGTGCTTGGGGGGGGGGTCAACAGTGGGAGGGCTTCTAATGTCCTGGCCCCACTGCTGGACCTCCTGATGGCACTGGTATTTCTGGCCACTGTGTGACACAGAGTGTTGGACTGGATGGGCCGGGGGGAGAACGTGCAGATCTGCCCTCGCAGAGGAGGGAGAGCTTGTACCTGAATAAAACTTGGTCTTAAAGGTGCCACTGGACTGTTTTGGACTAGGGGGCTGGGGGGCTCTGCAGCGTACCTGGCTGCTTCTTGCTCTGACTGAGGGCTGCTGGGAGCAGGGGGTGGGGCTTGTTGCATGTGCCCGCCCCCTGGGCTCTATACTGCCAGAGCTCCGCTCCTGTGCGCTCCTGCAGGAAATGACCCCTGCTCAGAGACATAACATTTATATTTCTGTCTTATACCTTTGAGGATGCCAGTCACAGCTACTGGCAAAACGTCAGGTTCTACAATGCCAAGACCACAGCCACACAGCCCAGAAAATCTACAGCAACGAATGAACTCCAGCCGTGAAAGCCTTCGACAACACATGTAGACAAAACAAATATGTTTGACTAGTGCCGTGTTTTCAACATCAGACCAGCTTCACAAATTCGTAAGGCCACTGGATTTGCTTACTCGGTAACTTACTTGAGCAATTAAACTGCCTTAATTCTGGGAAAGGATATAAGAAACAAAGGCCGCAGTTCACTGAATGAGAAAGCAAACACAACTGACTTACTGGTGAAGCAATTTTTGTGGTTGAGAAAGAGACCTGAGAATTAAATGTGCTCGCTTGGATTAAGTTGGGAGTTTCTGCAGGCATTTGGGCTGCACTGGGAGAATCCTTGGATCCCATTACATCCCAGCCACTGGTGGGCAGGAATCACTGGATTCCACTGCATCCCAGCCACTGACTTGCGCCATTCCAGTGAGGCACATTTCAGGCCTTCCTCTGGTGCAAGGTACATGGAAAAGCCTCTTTTAATGTACAAAGGTTTTAGACTTGGCTGAGTGGAACGGCACAGTACAGACGAATCTTTTCATCTAGACACCCGCTTCTGTTGATGATTTTTCATAGGTTTGACTGTTCATTGATTGGTTTGGCTTGCAATCACCTTCCTGCTTAGCCATTAGCTTAGAGGACACATCTCTGTCTTTCTTCTTTTTGTCATATTCATACACACATTAATGATCCTTGCTGCGGTATAGGGGCTGCGGTGGCTCAAGTGGTTAAGCTGCTGAGCTGCAGATCAGAAGGTCTGTAGCTCAGCAGTTCGAGACCCGAGTGTGCCGCATGATGGAGTGAGCTCCCGTCTCTGGCCCCAGCTCCTGCCAACCTAGCAGTTCAAAAGCAAGAAATTGCAAGTAGATAAATAGGTACCACTTCGGTGGGAAGGCAACAGCGATCCGTGCGCCTTGGCGTCTAGTCATGCCAGCCATGTGACGACGGAAAACATCTCTGGACAGTGCTGGCTGTTCGGCTTGGAAACAGAGATGAGCACTGCATCCCTAGAGTCAGATTCGACTGGCTTTCAAGCAAAGGAAACCTTTACCTTTACCTTACATACATGTAATTAGGATTGTCAATCTCTGTGCATATCGAAGCTGCTGTTAATGTTAGTCGTAATAAAAATAATTCTCCAGTATATGACTTTGGCTTTGTTTCCTTATGTTTTATTTTAAAGAAGTAAAATGGTTGCCATAGTTTTATGTGGCTACTGTACTGCTAGCCCTTTACTAACTTCAGACAGCAGTTTCTGACTCAACTAAAAAGGAGAGGGACACGTCCATCCGAACATTAGTGATGCTTCACTCTAAATCACCAGACCGCCTCTTCCAAAATCTTTATGTAAATATTGAACAGCGTGGGAGATGGCATATCTGTCCCTGTAGGTCCCGCATATTCTGGACTCTATGCTCCAAACAGGAGTCCATAGGGAAAGAAAAAGGGGAACAAAAGTTCCCCCCCCCATGAACTTAGAACCTGAAAGGTTAAATGAATACAAATGAGGGGGGCCAGTGTAAAATCAGTAAATATACAACATAAATATTATAAACGGTCCAAAGCACACATACTTATTACAAATTAGTTTAAAAGCAATTATAGGCCCAAATAGAGTAGGGCTGCCAGGTCCAATCTTCTCCGGGACCAGTGGGGGAATTGTGGGGGCGTGCCGGGAGGGGGCGTGCCCATCCCTGATGCAATGACATCATGCAGA